TAAAACGCACGTCAAATAAAATAGTGTTTTTAGTATTTACTCATTCATTGCTAGGAAAACAAACTGAATAATTATCTAATTGGCGTCAAGCCAAAATGGATTTCGCCTATGCGTGCCAATTCTTTAGTTTTTAGCAAACGAAAGTTATGTCGCTGGATCCAATCAGGCTAAAGGATAGGCTTTCATTACAGGAATTCACCAGCGATTGGTAGCGGCTTGCATCTCTTGCATAGCCATTACACCTCCAGCTGAACCATCACTTCACACTCTCACCGCGCACTGAGCGCTCAACGGCCAGGGGGCGCATCTCACAAATTACCTACAACGGAGGCTTCGTGCCCGAAAGATAAGGGAACGTACAAATGCAAGGCATACATAAGGCAATGCGCATCGTCTAATCGAGGTGCACACCTGGGGCGCCGGTAGTGTAATGGTTAGCGCGTCTGCGTTAACCACTGCGCGCCTGGGAAACCAGAGGCATGGGGTTCGATTCCCCCGCGGTGCCCGCGCTTCCTGCCAGGGTGAGAGGCAGGCGACGCCATATAGCCTCAGCAGTTGAGTGCGTCGTAAAGCCCCAGTGACATGACACACATGACAGAAGTGCACACCTGAACTTCTCGGCTTGATGTAGGGAAGAATGGCCTTAAGCCCCTGGTTTTTCGGTATTAGGAGTTCTGATTGTTACAATGACTGCCACCGTATACATATTCTGGAAATGGAGTGCACCAGGCCGTGGCGGCGTCAGCGAATGGACTGGAGCCATCGACATGCCGGGTATCCCCGGTTCTACCGAGCAACGTCACATACGCCGGCGGAGCAGCGTACGACAGCCGGACAGCCTTATCAAGCTCCAGACGCGACGCCCGTCCACCGCCTGGACGGACTTTGCGCCGGCCAAACACGTAGCGGTCGACGTCGCCGTGGCAACACGCGCGGAACGCTCCTGATGAACCCGGCACGTTCCGGCGGCGGGCCGGAAACGGGAGGTGCTGCCGGGGCACGCGCCGCCGCCGCCGCCGCGGGCGACCGGCTGGTGTCGGGGAGCGAAACACCTCGCACGGCCGGTTACAGACCACAGTATCGGCTCATTCGGGAAATACGTTGGTTCGGCTCATTCGGGAAATCTGTTGATTGAGTGAATAAAAAGCTTGTTCAAAAAAGCGACTTGCTTTTGGGTCTAGTTCCATCCAGTCATGTCACATAGCCCGCTTCATACATTTAACACTGGACGGAAGTCGTAACTCATTTTTCCCCGACTGCCTGCGACTTCCCCTATGCAGACAACACGCGGAGGCGTTTGTGTGGCGCTCTCAGCGAAGTAGAACGCAGTATGCATTAGGACATTGACCTCAACTGCTTGTCGTGACCAGCCTTCACATTCAGTCATGTAATGTTCGTGTTTCGTCATTGTATGAAGTGCATTGAATACAAAACGTAAATCAATATCAGGCTCCAGTATTTCTGCGGAGTCTCATGTAACAAAGTAAGTTTGGACCTGCATGTACAGTGTTTCATTTGGAGTATTAGCTTTAAAACAGCCGTGATATGTACACAACTTATTTCTAAGCATGTTTGTTTACCTTCTGGGCTTTTTTGGTGTTTATGGCCGGTGCCCACCTGCCCAGCGAGACGCCTCCACGACGGACCCGTGGACCCAAATGCAGTGAAGGGAAGTGTGCTTGCACACAAACCCATTTCTGCAGTGTATTTTCACAAACACACTTCTCCAAATTCTAGAATGACCCGCGCCTGCTGCCTTGCAAGTCACAACCCGAAACGGCCAAACCAAAATGTCCATTGCCCCAATTTGCTACGAACCGAGCAAGTATATCCTCTCCCCGTTAACAGGATGTAGGTACCGGTTCTTCACGACCCGTCCACTTCGCCTGTTACGCAATGTTTGGATAGCCCCTTACTAATACGAAAACGTGGCCTAATTACGTCCTAGTGGGATTGAGATTGGTGCTGGATGTCGTAGAACCCCTTCCTTATCTCCTATCTGCCACCAGGAGTGGTCAAAATGTGTGATCCATGAGGTCAGCTGGTCGTTACGGTAAGTTAATCAGCGTGCTGCCAGCGATTCGTTTCATTCTTTGTAGCACGTGGCTGAGAATAATTAGGCTTCCTCTCAGATTCGAGTCGCGTACGCTGCTAACGAGGGTGAAATGAACCGAGACAGACTTCAATCGGACATCAACAAGCGCCAAATTGGCTGATGGCTGCATGCACTGGCCCTGTTTGCCACCGCTTGGTAGCGCTAGGGGTGATTCATCCTTTCTTTCTAGTGCTGCGTATTCGTGACCACGTTACACCGACTACAGGCAAAGGATGGCCTTCGATAAGCCCGAACAACGGTGCTCCATAATTGCGGTCAGGACTTCGTGCGTGGTGAGTGTTGTCGACACGTGCCGCCCACCACCGGTGAGCGGTCCTTAGAGGAGATCCGCTTCAATGGAGCTGCCATGGGTACGGGGACGGACCCAGAATCGGATTTCGAAAAAGGCTGATGTTCGTTTGGAGGAGAAGTTCCAAGCCTGGACTATGGCTGCGTTGTTGCCCGCACCCTGGATGCATCCTCTTATGGCCAGAAATAAACGCTTTTAAACGGAGATGATCTCACGGACTCTTTTAAGGCGTGATCTTCTGTTCCATTCCGACGAAAATGGCGGTCGTTCGAGAGCCGAGTACCGGGGGCATCCCACGCGCCCCCCATCAGCAGAACACGATTGCCACGGCCAACAACTTCACAGTGTTCCATGATCACGATCTGACTCGGCAAATGTCAATATCGCGTGAAGAACTTCGTTTCACCAAGTCAAGCAACTGCTGGCTGCCGGTACGCTTGTTTGTTGCTACCTGGCGTTTTTGGGGGGGCCGACTGCGGGCGTCGTTTTGCGCCCGAGGCAGTATTATGTAATCAACAAGGTGTATACAGTGCACAAATCTAAGTCTAGAATAAACGAAGATAGCGGGCCGCCGTCAAGTAGACGTAGGTCGCCATCGGTGAGTCATCCACCACGGGGATGGCGTAGCATACCACGACGATGTCGCGTGATGTGTAATACCGCGCCCAATGACGCATACACTCTCGATACAAATGTGCACACGACTGAATCACGAGGTGCTCGGCGGGGAGCGCATGGCTCCGTGGACATGGGGGGGGGGGGGGGGGGTCCGTCACCGGCACACAGTCAGTACCTGTGGGTCTTGTACGTGTGTCTGATACGCGGCCTACAGAGCCCAACCTCCTCTCACTTCACCTTGCGGAAGCTGGAAAACCAGAGGGCCAAATCAGCCTCGAGTAATGGGTTGCGTAACACAAATAATGGCGTAGCTCCACAGCAGAATGCTAGGACCAGAAGCACGAGGGTGTGGGTTTGATTCATGCAGAAGACTGTGTTTCGGCACCTATCCACTATAATCAGCATGAGAAATGACGATGTCAGTGACACCCAATGGCACGCGTCTCCCTCAACACACGCTCGGGTGGGGGTTCAATTCCCCCCTGGAGGTTTTTCCGGAAGTTTCCGAACGGCGCGGAATAGCCGCGCCAAATTTTGCATACTGTAGACAATTGAACAGCGCATCGTTTGGTACAAAAAAGTGTAGATATGCTTTGTGAGGTCACTGATCTACGGCAGGTCACAGCCAGGCAATAGCTCAGCGATGTCGATTTCGAGAGAATCGTTCAATCTGATGCAACAACGGATTGTTAGACGAGCCCACACATTACTGGGGTACTTTCTTAGGCAATACAATAATGGAATGAAAAATTCCAATGACCTAAGTTCGGGTATGAAGGACACACCAAAGTTTATCACTCAGGGGCTTGCTGTGCAGGGTATTTTTTGCTGCCCATTTCGAATGAATGGATAACAGGAACCGCATCATGCATCTTCCATGGACTTCTTCAAATTCAGAATAGGTCACTTACCTGAAATGACCCAGGTCAACATTTTGTTTTAGGGACATACTGCCTAGCGTAATTTTTGCCGCTATGCAAATGTAAACTCAAAGCAGTCTTGTATGATTTCGTCACCATGATCCCCGAAAGGTCAAACAAGATCACTGATCTTAAATGGGCACGTGACCTCTTGCTTACAACGGGTATCTAGGTCCTGGGGTCACTTTGAACACCAACCTGGAGCTTGACCTTGTTTGACTTAATTTGACCCTTAGGTCATTACCTCGGAACCTGAACTCTTGACCAAAACCCGAGGTCACATACAGGCCAACACGCTCTGTAAATTTAGTCTCTGTAGCTCCAGTTTCTGAGATCTCACGTGAGGGGTCAAATTGACCGCCACCCGAGCGAAGGATATCCAACAGGCCACCCAAGCGTGTGAACAGTAACAATGTACGAGACAGCAGCACGGGAACCACATGCCGTGACAAGCGGATAACAAGCGGATGACAAGCAGAGCCGTATTAGGTCAATCGCGCCGACTCTAAGTCATACTTCGACTGAAAGCAGAAGTTCTGCTACTGTTTTCGAGAGGTCCTGACTATGCCTTTGGTAATTTGGGACGGATATTGAACGGGCGGAGACAGACGTGAGGCGGCCCAAGGCCCCGCCAGGCTGCAGACGTACAGTTACGCCTGTAGTTGACCATACGCCACCCTGGCCACTCCCCTCCTGCCGTGTGAACTGTCTTAAACCTTGCGACAAGTAGGGACCGCGGTCAGGAACCACCAAAATCTCCGGCCTGCAAGAACACTCAAACAAAACGGCACGACGCGCGCGCGGAAACCGGTTGTTCATCACGTCCATAGATCAGCGATCGCTCAGATACCTCGAGCCCGTCTCTTCAGCTATCATCTGATGCCTCGGCACTAGTAGAAGCAGCTCCGAGTCTTATCCAATCAGCACGCTGATCCGACAGACGTCATTGTACGCCGAGGAAAGTACTTAACGCCTTCGGCAACACCACGCGTAGCGTTCACCCACTCATCGGGCAATTCCATAGTCAAAGCCCATTTTATTCGCATCACCCCTACGTTATCCCCACACTACGAGACATGATACCACCCATGCGTCACCCTCCGGTCCAAGAGTCTGAAGGCATAGCATCACGCCGTCGATACGGCAGACAGAGCTGATCAAAATGCTTTGGAGCCATGCGAACACCCCTGCGCATGTAAGAGGCAGTTTAATGGTTTACGGCTGAGAAGTGCGAAAATCCCCTACGTGGCGGCCCTCCGCTGCACCGACTCGTGACAGATAACGAGGCGTCAAAGGACCTTCATGCCTACATCACAAACCAACAGCCGACAACCAACTGATTTTGCACAACGTTAAGAGAGACCAGACTTCTTTATTCCAGAATCTTCACACAACATAGTCACACCATTACATCAATAAGCCGCGATGCCCGAGCCCCGTTTCGGCCCCACCTGGCCGCGAGATCTCGCCGGTCACCGGACGCGCCGGCCGGCTGCAGAGCCCCGTAGGCTCTCACAGCGAAAGCACGTGTACTCTCGCAACGGCAGCGGCCGTCCGGTGGGGTGCACCAGGGCCGCGCGCGCGTGCCGCAGAGGTCCTGGCCTCAGCGCCGCCGCCGCACCGCCAGCGCCGGCGAAGCACGGCCGGCCACACTGGCGACATCTCTGGTGCTGCGTGATAAGCTCGAGTACGCAGAGCGGTAGCTCGGCAGTGCTGAGCTGCCGACCGCCGAGGTGTAGCGCTACCGCGCTGGCGGCCAGGTGCAGGAGCGACGGCGCGCCGCCTGGGGATGGACGCTCTCCCTCCGCCTCGCCCGCGTTCCCGTGCGTGTCCAGCTCCATGAGGTCCATGCGCTCCAGCTGCGCGGGCAGCCACATGAGCTGGTTGTTGGCCACGTTGATGACGCGCAGGCGAGCCAGACTAGGCAGACAGTCGGGCAGCGCTGCCAGCCTGTTGTCGGCCGCGTTCAGAAAGTGCAACTGCGTCAGGAAGGCGAGCGACTCGGGCAGCGCTGTCAGCCGATTGCCGCTGACGTCAAGATAGGCCAGCTGGGAGCGGGCCGGCCGCTCGGCCAGTGGCGTCAGCTGCTCCAGCAGGTTGCCGGCCAGCCGGAGCTCGCAGAGCTGGGGCAGCCGGCGGTCGATGGCCGGCACCCGCGTCAGCCGGTTGCCGCTGAGGTCGAGCGCGCGCAGCTGGGTCAGCCGCAGCAGACGTTCCTCCACGCGCCGCAGCCGCAGCCCGGCCGCCGTCAGCTGCTGCAGGCCGGCTGGGAAGGCGCGCACGTACTCGGCCGATGACCGCGCCGTGAGCCGCGTGGGCGCGCGCTGCAGCTGGCCGGCCGGCACACGCGTCGGCGCGGCGGCCGGCGGCGGAGCGGCCGGCTGGCCGCGCGCCGCGCCGCTCAGCTGCTGCAGGAAAGCGCGCACCTGCACCGGGTCCCCGCTCACCAACAGGTCGTGCGCCGGCTGCGAGAAGCTCAGGCTCGTTTTGCCGGCGGCCGCGTGGCGCGTGAACACGCGCGCCAGGCTGGCCACGCGGTAGCGCAGGCCGCGCGTGTTGCGCGGCGTGTAGGCGGTCACGAGCAGCTCGGGCGCCCGGCCCGACAGCACCAGCAAGCCCTGAGATTTGCGCGACGGCTGCGTCGTGCCCGCGCCCGACCGGTACACCGTCTGCAGCTCGCACTTGAGCTTCATTGCCTTCCACCTGGAGCATAGAGGCAGAGTGCTCAGCCACTGTGTGCAAAAATTACCCAGGGATTGACAGCATTGAAAATTTTGAGTTATACATATGTTATGTGAGGAAGCTGGAGAATACCCTCCAATTCTTATTGGAGTATTTTCTCATAAGTTTACTCATGTTGAGATTCTGTCACACAGTTTTTAGCACAATCTGTGGAAAGTAGATAGGCACCAGTACATTAATGTGTTACACTGCTTGACTAGAGCCCAGAGGTTGCCACTAAGAACCTGCTCAGGAATAGAGCAAATTATTAATGTAGTCAGGGTGTCTAGAGCTTGAACACTCAACTACATCATGTATTCCTTACCAACAGTTGTATTAAAAGATGTCCTTTCCCATTGGTACACACTGGATATTGTCATAAGGACCCAGCACTATAACCTATAACAGCATTATCTTTCCAGCTCACAAATTTATTGTCGGGTCATTCATAAATGATATCAGCACTTTGACCATTCCAACCCCATTGTCTGCTCACTAGAACACAGGGTATGCTGAACAACCACACCTGGTTATGCTGGGTTCAATGTAACATCTGTTTAGCACAATGCTCTAATATTTGGTCATTTCCATGGCAGGGATGTCAATATTTTTTTCATGCCTCAACACCTTGACTTCGAGCTCACTGCCTGTGGCCCCTCCCTTCACTCAAAATCAGCCCATCGACATCAAATGGGGTGGCTGTCAAACCAGTATCTATGTGACCCAAGCTTGAGAAATGGGCTGTGTAGGTCAGATGTCTGGGTTAGGGTCAAATGGCAATGTATAAGTGTCAGCAAATTGCCTGTGGAGACTGCCAAAGAGCCAGGACTCCGAGAGCACACGTCTATATTGAATTCCTGCACATGCTGCTGAATAAATTTTGGGATGTTGGTTTAACACCTTCTTGAGCTAAAGGTGTGAAATAGTAATGGGCATGCTGCTTGTCATGATAAATTGACTAGAGCTAGCTGTAACTTTTCAACACATGAGACCAGCATGATTTGCAAATATTGCTGTGTAAAACACTTCAATGTCAAACATTCTTCCTTTTACTTCAATTTAGTGACATTTAATCAAAACCACCATCCAAATCCTTGTATAAAATAATTAAGAGAATCCCAATCTGATACTAATTTGCAGTAATTGCTCATTTTGGTATTCACAAAGTAGTAAGCCTTAGGTTGAAATACAACCAGAAGTACCAAACATTCAGACACTGTGTTCCACCCCCGCCATCACATGTCTTCCGACACCACTTGCACAACTACTCCGGCTTACCACGTAAGCCTTGTCTGCAAACCATGGCAGGACTCGGCGTGATCTCGTTAGGGCATGGTTGAGGCAGTAATTGCAATGTGGGGCAGCCTATAAAACTTTAAGGGCAGTGATTCCTCACAAGAGACTGCTAATGTTAATAATCTGATGTGGCAGCTCACAGTACCTTGAAGGAGATGGAACGGATGCTCCACTGCGGCACAAGCCGGACGACGCCGCAATGTTGTTCCGTAGCGCGCCAAATATAAATCACGATATACATCCAATTACTTCATACTTATTTCGAGCCAGACCACATGCGCCACATCGGTGTTAACTGCGTCGGAGTTGTCCTCATTGTTGCCATCCTGCCGCCTGTTCGCCGGCTGGGTTGTGTGAGGGGCCGCTCGCCCAAAAGTTGTACCCGCTGTCACTGCTCAACAAGCGACGCTTGATATTCAGCCTGATCTGAAGATGCATGTGAAAATGTCAGTTTCGTGGTCATAACGCACTGACCAGACATTCGCTGCCGCTTTCTTCGATTCCCCGCAACATACTTTAGTTCATGGAAGACACAGGTTGTAACCCAACTGGCGTCGGTGACGTCTGCAACGCACAAGAGCAAGTACCCAGAGAGCAAATCACGCACGTCTTCTTACCGAGGCAACCCCAGGTCACGTTCACCACACGGCGGATGCGCTCGAAATAAAACCAGTTACCTTCCAATCAAGTAATGCAAATCCATGCGCCTCATTCCCTGCCTAAGATATTACTTTCTGTCACCATCTAGTTTAGCTCCTTAGCCCATCATTTGGCCAGGCGAACACATGTCCATGGCAAGACCCGACGCTGAGGGGGATCAAAGCCCCGGGACGAACCAGGAGAGTCAAACAGGCGCCTACCGTACACCTTGTGGCGTCAACGGAAGCGGTGTTGTCTTGTAATGACACTAGATGTCCCTAAGAATTGCGAATCAAATTTTACTTTATCATATTTTTTGCTTAAATAATGCTACTGGTGCAGTTATCTTTAAAAATATTAAATTCTTTATAATTTTAGAACCATTTATCATGAAAACAGGGAACTGAACAAACAACTGTTTTGGTTTTGGGGCTACGAATCCTTCGCAAACTGTGTTCCCGGCAGAAACCGCGCCGAAAACACTCTGAGCGCAGCCACATTTGTTTTTTCGGCGTGTAAATTTCCAGGGCGGGAGTTTGGGCCGAAATTTCTGTAAGTACCATTGGCGGATTTTCCACGCGGTGGATTTGTCTTAGTTTTGGTGCTAATGCTCCTCCGCCTGTTGATCCTGTTTTTGTTTGTAAGGCCTCGTGCACTTGTACGTGGCCAGTTTTCTTGGGCATGCCTTGGCCACGTGGTCCTGTCTAAGGGTGCGAGGGTATGCGGTCCGCGTGTGCATCGGTTGGTTAATTGAGTAGGGGTCAAGATCCGCGCGAACGCGTATTCGACGTTGATATGATCATGTTATGGTAATATATCCATCTTCCATATTGTGGGGTCCTTATGGCTATGTTGGAGCCTTAGGACTATGGTGCCGCTGCAGTTTTTTTGCGGGGTCACTTCCACTTGTCAACAAAGCTTGAAACTTCCACTTGTCAACAAGCGTGGAACTTTGCTGATGCCTTGGCATGGTTTTATTGCATAGTAGCATGGTCATTAATTGTTAATTCTGGCATGTGATTTGTGAAAGTTACCATTTTTAACCAGGCTGGAGGGATGCTCTAAGTACAGTGCTTAATAGATGTAAAGGGCATGTGTGCTGGTGGAGCACTGAATGGATGTTCAAGGTTCATGTGTGCTCTGACAGCAAAATGCTTTCATGCAGAATGTTCTTCAGAAGGTATATTGTGGACTGCATAGTGATCAGCCGGTGATCTCGCCACCATGGTATAGGCATGGTTTATGTGGAAATTAACAAATTTTCCATTCACCATTTTCCCACTATTATGTGAAGCATGCTCCATGCCCAAGATGCAGTGCTGGCATGGCAGCATGAAAGCAGGCATCTGGTGTTTTTATTTTATATTTATATATTATATTTATAGGTATATTTATAGGTATTGCAAATATGTGGGTTGTATAAGAGATATGTTGGTTCATTCTAAACCTATCATGCAAGTGAACTTAAATGACAGTTGTAGAAATATTACTAGGGCTGTTATAGCCAGCTGTTTGAGTGATCATAACTAATTGTTCATTGAAAGCATCATCATGATCATTAGCATCACTGCAATCCAGATTGTAAGTGAAGGGTTGTTACCAGGGGCAGTTCCTAAAGAGCTTGCATGCCTTTAAAGATTAGTGGTGATAACCATCACATGCTACAGTTATATTTTAATTTATGAAATGGGAGAGCAAACATTAAGGAAAGTCTGTTGTCTGGTTAGTGTTAGCAGGGATACAGCTGGAGGTGCTGGGACTCCAGGAAGCATAAGTGTATTTATGATCATGAATTGCCCATTCAGTTACATATTCAGTTCCCATGCACCCCTCCTTAAAGAGGATATTTTACATTTGAAGGTGTTTGAGCAAACATCAGATACATTACTTATGAATATTGGTATAACTTTGGGAGGAAGACTGCTCTAGCCAGCAGAATTGTTTTGTATGTATGCTTCTTCATGCATCATGGTTTGCTTACATTGTCATACCTTGTATAAAATCAAGGTGTTGTGTTACCAATGTCAAAAATGGTGAATGTCACAAGTGGCTGAAATATAAAAAGAGTTTTGGAAATAGTTTGATGTTATGTTAGAGGGATGTTATGGGTAAAGCTATAGTGGAGATTATGTGTTGCCAAGAAATGTGCCATATGAATATGAATTTTAGAGCCCCCATTGACAGTCCCTAGCAATGTTTTGGGTGAGCTGGATCAGTGGAATAGATTAGCATTTGGCTACAGTGAGAATTGTTTATGCATGCTAGTCTTGATCCGCCAATCCATTGTGTGGTTGTGCACATCATTCTTGATCTTTCAATTCATTGTGATGCAGCCCTGTGTATTTGTTTGTGCATGCCATTTTTATTCCAAATATAGCTGGTGTCAAAATTATAGGATACTGAATGGTTTGCTGGCTGTGCCTTGGTGTGGCAACACTTCGAAAGCTGGATAAAAAAGCTGGGCAGGTTGGACTGCCCAGCTATCCAGATAAGATACAGATATAGCAGATCAGCCTTTGATAACTCAAAATTGTAGGATGCATGGATGTCCTCAGATATTTACACAAGATGTTTCCCCAAAGGCAGAAGTCAGAGTCAGCTGAGCTGGATTGACATGGTTTGAATGGGCCAATTCTGCAGTCTGCAACTATCCCCAGTTATCAGATGTCTTGGTTCTAAGCTGTGCCTCACAAACAAAAATATGTTTCTCAAACAAAATTCTTCATTTCAGGACATATCACCATGGCTGAAGGAAATGGTGATGCCACTGTCATTGAGGAGCCAACTGGCTGGGAGGAGCAGCCTTCCAGTGCAATCAAGGTGGAGTCAACTGGCTGGGAGGAGCAGCCCAGCAATTCAATCAAGGCAGAGCCAACTGGCTGGGAAGAGCAGCCTGCCAATTCAATCAAGGCGGAGCCAGCTGGCTGGCAAGAACAGCCCGCCACTGTAGACAAGGTGGAACCACCTGTTGCAGAAGAGAGAACTGAAGATTACCAGAAATTGATACAACTTGGCCTGAATGAAAAAGTTGCTGCAAAGCTTGATGAGATCTACAAGACAGGTATGTGAAACAGTTGTTTGGAGCTGCCTTGGGTGTAAAAAAGTGACTGCAGAACAGGGTGGGATGACTGTCCATGATGGCACACCACCTGCCTTGTGCTGTGCTTTGGTTGGGGAGTAACAGCATGGTCAGTACCATAAATATTATGATGAAATGCCACTTGGTCATGTTCCAAGGATATGGATGTGATCAACTGGGATTAAGCTGAACAAGTTTCCACTTAAGCAGCTGGTTTAAACAGTTCTGCACTTCCTGCTTTGAACAAGCTGAAGTTTTTTTTTTTTGAAAGGTGTTTTCTTGGTAGTAGGCATGGTGCCCTGCAGAATGGTGCACCTAGATTGCTGTTCATCTTCTGCACCATTAAACATATGCACATGATTTCTAGTTTCCATTGCAATTTTTGATCCATTGCCCTTAAGCTAGGTTAACACAAGTTTCTTGGGGGTTAGTGGGGAAGGATGGAGATGAGCATGTCTGCCTAGTTCTGTATTGTGATTGCTGGTTGTGATATGAAACATGTTGTTGATCATGTATTGACCTTTATTTTTCAGAAAAGCTGGTCCATGCTGACCTTGATGAGCGAGCTCTAGATGCATTGAAGGAGTTTCCAGTTGGTGGAGCTTTGACAGTGCTCAAGCAGTTTGTGGACTCAAACTTAGAGCATGTGTCAAACAAATCAGCTTACCTCTGTGGGGTCATGAAAACTTATCGCCAGAAGAGCAAAGCGCAAGGTAAAAATTGCTGTTCGTCAGTTCAAGAATAGATTGTTTTCTTGTTGATAACTCTTGGTCATTTCCAAAAGGACACTCATCATTCACACTGAACACCAGACAGGCATTCTATGAATGCTGGCTGCCATCCACATGTATGTCACTATTTCATGGATTCATGTATCATGTTGAAACTTGGTGGTGATCCATGCTCCAAAAGTTGCATATGTAAATGTGTTATTTTATTTTCTTCTAAGTTTACCAGTGACACCTTGTCAAATGGAAGGTGCCCTGTTGCACCCTTGCAGAATGTTGATGCTATTGTTGACAATGCTATTTCTATTAATTGGCAGATGTCTTTGTTACATTAATTTTTCCCAAATTCTCTAGTGCCATGTCACAAACATCCTGCTTTTTCACAGGGCCAACATATCCATCAACACTGGGGCCTGATGAGGAGAAAATTAAGGCAATTCTGGACAGAACTGGGTTTACTCTGGATGTGACCACTGGCCAGAGGAAGTATGGTGGTCCACCCCCTAACTGGGAAGGCAAGCAGCCAGGTGCTGGATGTGAGGTAGGTCAACATGGTCATCAGTACTTCAGTTTGTAGTTCTATGCCTTTGGTATCAAATTTCATTATGGCAGGAGCCAGAGGTTAATTCATTTGAGAGAAATATTGACTTTGCAGAAATCATTTTTCATGTATCCAGTATTATAAGGTGGTCATGGGAGATGGATTTGGGTGACATTGTGGCCTGTTTTTAATGGCATGACCATGTACATTTTGACATTTGAAAATGAAAAGAGGACCAATTAGTTACATTGTCATAAATTGTTCATATTTTTATCCCATCACCATTTGAACAAATGCCTGCATGCATACAAGAATGCCTGCAATGCCTTCTGGGCAGTTATCTGTTACACATGTTGACTTTTAAGCTTTTACTGTTTTAGCAGGGCTTGATATCTGTGCACCTGTTTTGGTAGTCAAGTGGGGGTGTTCTGCATTCGCATGGGGTGTTGAACTGAAACAGCCATCTTGAAAGTCATATGGTGCAGGTAACAGCAATGCTCTTTTTGGCACCTAAATTTGTGTGTAAAAAGTGTAGGCTACTTTGAGGTTATCCATGGTGCTGTAATTTCACTCAAATCTTGCCATTCCATGTGCCATGTTGAGAAATATGCTCATCAGGCATTCATATCTAGTGTTCCTGAGTGTAATTCTCAGATACAATGGCTGTCAATTGCAGCATTCCAATATTCTGCCTCTTCAGGGGCAGGGATGTCAATCATTTTCATATGGAAACACCCTGGCTTTTTGCATACTGCCTATGGCCTCTCCCCTTGCTCAAAATCAGCCAGGCAGCTGTCAAATCAGTGTCTATGTGCCTCAGACTTGGCAAATGGGCTGAGTAAGTCAGATATCTGAACCTGGGTCAAAGGGCAACAGGTTATCACCAGCAAATTGTGTGTGAGGACTGCTAAGGAGTCATAATTCTGGTAACATGAATTTATATTTATATCCTGCACACTACTGGATGAATTTTGGAATGCTGGTAAATTGGTTCTCAGCTGATGGTGTGCAAGTGATGTGAAATCTTGGTGTAGATTACATTTTGTGTTACATTATATTACAGGTTTTTCATTCCTCTTAGTCACTACTTTGCATATAAGTCAGTGTCAAGGTGATTAAGCCTGTCTGTAATCAGAGTTATTCATGTGATGCTATAATATGCTTTCAGTGAGCTAGGATTATTTTATCTGGGGTGCAGGTGGAAAATTCTACTGCAAAGTGGTTACATGTGTACAGTGCAGTGCAGTCTATCATCTATCTATAGTGCAGTCATACAATCTACAGTGCAGTCATTTGCCAGTCAGCAAACTAGGGCAATTCTGGATAATATCTCATTGAAGTAGACAAGAGGGACCACTTCAACACATTTGGGGTAGATGATTGAGAGCATGGAACAAAACAGTTTTATTACATGTCTTGTGACATCATAATTTGTCTGGTCACAATTTGGTGGTTTAAAACAAAATGGCTAGGTTGGGTTTCAAATCATGTTTTGAAAGGTAAGATGAGTAATCAAATGGCCAACAGGGGAAATTAACTGATTTCAAGGGTGGGCTTTTTTGCTCCCCCAAACTGAGAGGTCAGTATCTTTTGCATGGCTAGCTGACACATGGTTATCCAACCCACTTCAAAATACAAAAGTCAATCATGCCCCCAACCTATGAAATAAGGTGTGAAATAAGTAAGAGATCACAGTTTTAGAGGACATAATTTTGTTACCAGGCACTTGTGCATTTGCTGTGCGAAATTTGTTCCAAAGCTTTGCATTGAGGGATAATTTTCTGTGGTGATGTAGTGGGACTGGGATGGCTGATGTATTATCAAGCCAAGCCATGAGGGCAAAGACTGCCAATTAGTGGTGTAATAGGTGAAAATGGTGGTAGAAATAAGTTCTGTGCTTCAAATTTTATCCATCATTCATTATAAATGGTTCGATGTTGGGTGCAAATCAAACAAGTTTTGGTTGGCTGGCAAATTAATCCAGTTGTATGCAATGCTGACAAGTTTGCAGTCAAAAGATTTTGCAGAGAATTTGGTTAACATTTCAGTCCAAAGGCAGTAGTTTTCAAGATTATCAAATGGGAAAAAATGAGTTTGTATTGCAAAAGATTTTGCAGAGAAATTGGTTAACATTTGAGTCCAAAGGCTGTAGTTTTCAAGATCGTCAAATGGGAAAGAAAAATGAATTTGTATTGCATTGGTATAAGCTCAACAAAACAATGGACAAACAAATTCCCAGTTTTTGTATGATTCTATCAACTTGGTTGACTAAAAATCTGTGAAATCATTGTCTGTGAAGTGAAAAAATCAGTGAGCAAATCACATGAGCTTTTAAGAGTTCACTTAGAAAGGAATTCTTGAATTTTTCACTGTCATTTCAGGAGTGGTGCAATTTGCTGGTGAAGTGTTTGCAGGAAAAATAAAGACACTTGGTAAAAATTATCTGCTGCGCCTTGCTGGTGTTTGCACCTGGCTATGCTTTGCTGGTGTGGTAGCTGCATGATATTACACCCCCCACCCATCGCACTAATGGCTGTTTCTGGAGATGCATGAAAAAGTGGAGATGCGTGAAAACCTTGCATTTGGCACACAGCTGTATTTTGCGAACAAACCTCGAATGATGAATGCAACAGGCTGAAGTTGCTCTGAGGCTTGATGGTACCTAACGCCGTGGCTCGGTGCATACATAGGTGTGATTCAGATATAGTTAAGGCAGGATATAGCCATGGCTGTCCAGGTTCTGCAGAGCTTTGTTTATGGTTGGTGGTTTCAAGCGAGCTCAGATTTGTATGATGTCTTAAAACTTTTGACTAGGAGGTATGGGTTTAGCATATGTGGTTTAGCAATATCAGGCGGCATTTAAAACATCACAGAATGTGGGGAAAATGACTGAAAGTTCCTCCTCATGGGGTGTTGCTTTACACCCAGTCAACATTTCTGGTCCGGTCCAGTGTGTCTTTGCGCGGCAAACTGTTGTGCGAAATGCAGAAGGTGGTGTAGGTTTGGATTGTTCATCAACATCATATCAAGCTTGACATTGATCAGTGATTTTGTCAATGTCGCAGGCATTCTGTGGGAAAATCCCTAAGGAGCTGTTCGAGGACGAGCTGATCCCATTGTTCGAGAAATGTGGGGACATATGGGACCTCCGGCTGATGATGGACCCCATGACTGGCCAGAACCGTGGCTACGCCTTCGTGACGTTCACCAATGAGGATGGTGCAAGGGAGGCTGTCAAGCAGGTATATTGTTTTTGTTTTCTTCCCTCCTCAGTTCTGTTCTGATGCATTTCTATTGTGTTCATTGTTTTTACAGCTGTGACAATCTGGCAGATTGACCTGAATTTACAGTATCTTCTGTACTCTGACTTGTTTGCCAGGTCTCCTCTTTGCCATGAAGAAGCAGAATTAAGGATTAGTAGTGGTTGTGACCAAAAAGTGGATGGGTTTTTGGTGGTGTGTAAGGTTTGATTGGACATGTTAGAGGAATATGACCATGCATATCACTAACTCTGTGGCATTTCTTGCTCCGCAGCTCGACAATTACGAAATCAAAAAGGGGAAGACACTCAAAGTTAATATCAGTGTGCCCAACCTTCGCCTGTTTGTTGGAAATATCCCCAAATCTAAAGGCAAAGAGGAGATCATGGAAGAATTTGGCAAACATACAGGTAATTGTTTCCAAATTGTTTTCTCAGTTTGTTTGCAAGGATTTTGTTCATAAACTGGACTGCATTGAGCCATCTGTCTCATTGGCATATCATTTGCTGCAGCTGTTTGTTGAAGGTGTCAAAATTGAAGTTCAACATTTTGATGGTGCTGCAGAGAGTCTGGTCGACGTCATCATCTACAGTTCGCCTGATGACCGGAAGAAGAACCGTGGCTTCTGCTTCCTGGAGTACGAGACGCACAAAGCTGCCTCGTTGGCAAAGAGACGGCTGAGCAGCGGCCGTATCAAGGTCTGGAGCTGTGATGTTATTGTGGACTGGGCCGACCCGCAGGAGGAACCTGACCGAGATGTCATGGCCAAGGTGAGGCCCCCATGCATGTCCTGCGTGTGCCTGTTCCGGTAGTGTACCACACAGGCAGCTGATAAGTTTTAAGGACATACTCCACACAGCAGTTGTATTTGTGCATTCTAAAGATGCATCCATAAAGCTATTGTATTTGTGCAACACAAATTAAATGAGTCCCATTTTGACTTGATGTGCCCAAATACTCCAAGACAGTGGATTGACAAACTTTCATGGCCAGTGTGTATTTTCTGTTTGATGTTTGTGATGTTGCATGTGGAAGTATCTTCCAGTCAACATGCGCCAGTTGTGTATCCCCATTGGGAATTTCCTGCCATCCCCCAATGTTAGGCACTTTTGTTTTAGAATATTTTACCGCCATTTTCATGCAAGCAAGGGCTAGGAAAAGCAACATTGCTTTCACGGATTACAGGTCAAGGTACTGTATGCCCGGAACCTGACCCAAGAATGCACGGAGGATGCTCTGAAGCAAGCATTTGAGGTGCATGGGAAGATTGAGCGGGTGAAGAAGATCAAGGACTATGCCTTCATCCACTTCGAGGAAAGAGAGAATGCCTTGAAGGTATGTGGTAGGGCTGTGTGGTGACACTCTTGCCGAAGCTGGAGGGTTTTGGTGCAGATATGCTGGGTTGTTGTGCTGTATGCCTCAGGTGCAGTATCCACACAATTATCTGGGATGGTAGGAATACCACAGCAAGTATTACCATTGTTGGCGTGATCGCGGATGGAGCAGGCAGCTGACTTGATAAACATGGTAGGCGTTGTTCTACAAACACTGAGACCGATACAAAGACACTGACAAAGGCACGGACAAATCTAGCGGTTAGTGCGCCCCTAAAGTGACACTCACCCTCTGCAGGCAATGGAGAACCTGAACCACACCGAGCTGTGCGGTTCCACGATCGATGTCTCCCTGGCGAAACCCCCGTCAGACAAGAAGAAGAAGGAAGAGATGCTCCGGGCCCGGGAGAAGAGGATGATGGACATGATGGCTCAGCGGGGGTAAGCTGGGTGTGGCGCGGTCGTGTGCGGAGTGGGGTATGGAGTGCCCGTGCCAAAGTATGCATGGTGTGATGGATGTTGATAGTATCTATTGTGGGTTGGTTCACGTCAAGTTATTTGGCATGATTGTGTGCTGCATGTTTGGATTACAATGGATGGGTTTTTGGGGCACTGCTGTTCAGTTCTTTTTCGTTTATCGTGGATCAGACTTGTCATCGCGTATGTGAACCTTGCTAGTTAATTTCAAGTTCTTAAGACCTTGATGGGCATACTCGTCATTGCAACGGTTATGGAATGGTTAAGTGCAACAAATACACGTTAATATCCCATTGCTCTTTGCATGGTGATTGTTGGTGTGTGTGAGGTTTCTTGTTATGTGTGTAATCGTTACGATCATAGTGTCAGTACCTGCAGTTGGTCGTGGCGAATACGCCAGAGCACGGGTGGTATTACATTTGGAACCATGTGTCAAAGCATCGTTAGCTGTGTACTTGAAAACAATGTTCTACAAATTACTTTATGTGACATTTCATTATGATAACCTTTAATCGTAAGCATTCTCAATGCATAAATCTTACTAGTTTGCTTCTGCTGGGTAGGGAAGAGGAGAGACAGTTGAAGCTTTTGTTTTGCATTTGAGCTCGATTGCTTGCTGCGCTCCGAGCGATTTGACTTGGCATAAGATATATGTAATCACATCATTGAAATTTGCTGGATCTCTGTACCGCACGAGTACGCTCATCTGTTGCTTGGCTTTGTTGGCGTGCGCATTAGCGGTTGGCCGAGCCCCACGCAGCGCTCGACTGCTTTGGCACGCGTGCTGCGTCGCCCATGTTACCGTTCTGGCACCGCGCAGACTCGTGCAATGCACGTATCAGCTTAAGAGAATTGTGTATGTAGGACGCGTCAGTTGGCTCGATGTAGCACGCCGCATTACAGCGGCAGTGGCGCCGCAACGCGGCACGCTGCCCGGGGAACGCGCGGTTCCTCGGCTGATGCGAGCGGTGACGGGCCGACGCAATGCCAGGGAGCCACCAAAGGGTCCCGTCGGCGTTTCCCACCGGCTGTAATTCGGTTCCCGGCCACAGCCGCGGCAGCGAAGTCAGTGGCCGTGTCAGGTGATGCGTCGTCACACGCACCAATCCGCAACGCAGGGCGTGGTTTTAGTGAGCACATGCGCCACCTTTTGTCCCGGCGTATTCGGTGTGATGACTGGTGTTGCCTCTGTTTCTAGGTTCCCCGTCTTCCCGCCGAGCATGGGCATGGGCCATCGCGGCGGCTACATGCGTGGTGGTGTCGGGGGTGGTCGTGGGGCCATGGGTCGTGGCGACTATGGTAAGTTTTCCGGGTACAACTACTACGCAGATAACTACTGGTACTACTGAAGTGCCAACGGACTTGTGTGGAAGTTTGGCTCATAATATTCATGTGACAGCTGGAACTGAGTGTTATGATCTGAATGGTGTTTTATCGCTGCTGCGACTCGGGGATATGCGTGAATTCTGCCAGTCATCTGACATCTAGGGTTGTAGGAATGGACCATGCTCATTGTGGGGCGCCTGGGACAAGTGCGAGACTGGTTTATTTTTGTAAGTGTGAGGGAAGACAGTTTGTGCCGTTCAGAGTGATAATGCAATACATATTGCATCAATATGTTACGACCTCTTTGATCTCGAGTGCCGGGGATCTAGTGGCATGGCAGACTGTCTCGTTTGTCCGGTCGCTCCGACTTGAATGACGGCAGTCGTCGAACGACGACATTTGAGGTTACCGTGCTTGGCTGCCCGCTCCTTCGCCTAGCACTATGACTGGCATATTTGGACACCCTACGTCTGCCTGTGACTGGCTCCCCTGCTGGCCCAGAGCCGTATGACGCTTTCTTAAATGAAATTTGCGTGAACGTGAGCAGAGGGCATTGGAATAATGGGTGGAAGGTACTTTACGTGACTGGTAACAGCATGGTATTGGTCTTTCTAGATGTCGGTTATGATAACGATTACGACGCGTATGGATACGGAGGGTATCGAGGTGGCTACAGCGATCCGTATTACGACGAGTACTATAACGACGAATATTCGTACGATTATCCGGCAAGCTACATGCCTCCGAGAGGAAGGGGCAGACCTCCAATGGTGGGTGCTCTTTGGCGTCTATTGTCCCAAATTATAGTGTGTAGCTAGTTTGCTCAGACTTCCATTCGCTGTGGCTACATGGCATTTGCCGTAAGTGTTTGCCGTGTTCAAATTTTACTTTGTCCGGTCTAAATCACGCGATTTCGTCTGGTTCGACTGTCATGTTCAAATTCTCTTCAGCCTAGTCCAAATCGCGCGATTTTCGTGCTTCGAAGCCCGTTGTCTGATTCGTTGTCAAGGGTCGTTGATGTTGTTGACAAATTGGTGTCCCGTGGTCCGCCAGTCATGGTGTCCCCGATCCTCGTCCCGTCCAGCCCCGCCCGATCGCTGTTGAGGCCCGCCGACAGCAGCCAGTCTCGTCCGTGTCTGAATGCTGCTGTGCTATTTGCAGGCTGGCCGCTCGCGTGGGGTTATGGGAGCTCGTGGTCGCGCCGCTGGCCCGCCGCATGGGACTCCCATGGCGAGGGGTATAACAACTGGTCGTGGAATGGCCAGGGGTATGCGCACTGGGGCGGGCAGAGGGGCCGCCAGGGGACCAGGCTTACCAGGTCAGAACACGTGTGATCTTCGACTTTTTCGATCATGTGATTAACGTTTTTACGATGGTTCCGACATTTTTTTGGTGTGGACTAATGGAATGCCGGGTGTCGCTTCCATTTGAACTGAGTATTTTGTTTCTGTTTGACACCTCTGTGTTAAGTGTTCGATTTCAAACCGTCTGAAAAGTCACCTTCCTGGATACGTTCAAGTTTGATTTACCGTTTTGTTTCTGGCAGCACTCGCTTTCACGGGGCATGTCACTCACAGTGTGCTGACAAAAAGGGGATGAAAATTTTGCGTGTTTACAGGTAAGCGGAAATTCGAAGGCGGTCACCAGAACCAGGGGGATTATAAGCGGCGCCAGACCAATGCCAACTGGGGTACCACTCCCATCCCGCAGCAGCCGCTGCGTAACAGCCGTTATCGGGGCTACAGCGACGACGAATTCTACGTGGATTCGTACGGCGGGCAGTGGTAGCCGGCAGACGCGCGCGTGGCGCGGCGCTCGCGCCCCGCGCCGTCGGTACCAACTGTAGCGATGAGACGGCCACGAGCAAGCCATGCCACTAGATCTCATGTGATGGACGGAGTGGAGACGCTAGCAGCGTCGTGTTCGGAGCGAGTTGCTTCGGCCCGTCCAAGCTTCGGCTGTGGGAGGCGGCGGTGCGCCAGCTCAGCTGGCCTATGTGGAGGCGGGGAGGGGCAGTTTGTCAGTAATTTTGGTTCGAAAAGCTGTTAAACCACGTTCGAAAGACGAATTCAGTCGACTCCGTTGTGTTTGGCGTTCGGTTTGGGGCTACACGATCCCCTAGGTCTGGTACGAGTGGCCTCGAAAGTGTCTGATTTTCTTGTTGTCTTGGGCTCCCGTTATGACTGAGCTGTGAAGTGTCCCACTTAGTGAGCTTTGTAGTGGAAGTCATTCGCAGTCCCGGCACGGCTTCCGAGACGGGGCGATGCCTGTGGCTCCTCTGTAAATATTGTGTATGACGAGTGCTCAATGCTTCTCTAATTTCTTAATCGGTTTTAGGCATCCCGGAAACGAGTGAGCTGTTTAAGTTAATGCCTCAGATCGACCTCGGCGATGTGTCCACCGCAGGTGTATTTTAATATCTGAGTCCCATTTCCTCGGTCATTTCGTTTTTCCTCTGACAATAAACAGGATTGGTGGTACTTGGTTTTATTTTGTTGCTTACGTTGTCGTTTCCGACTGAAGTTACAGTTCCATTACTTGCGGTGCGCACAGACCGAACGAATTAGTGCGGCTGTTTAATAAGCATTGTCGCGGCAGTGGGTTGCCTTGACCGGATTCGGGTGCAGGGGTTGCGATGGGCGCGGTCACCGAGTGCCTCCGGCGCGCGTCGCGGTACGGCCTACAGGTCGTCGACGCTCTTGCCGCGGCGCAGCTTGGAGAACTCTTCGAACACGATATCGTCGCCCTTGGCCGCCTTGGGCTGGCTGTCCATAGCCTGCGACTTCTGGTTGGCGCGCTGCTGTTGCTGCTGCTCTGAGCCCGGCGCCGGGTGCAGCAGCTTGAACGGTAGGTCGGCGATGAGCTCGCCTCCCAGAGCGCCGCAGTTGAGCCGCACGCGCATCGAGTACGAGATGACCACGCCCAGCGCGTCGCTGCTGCCCTTGTCGCTGGCCACCAGGGTGGAAGAGGCCAGGTTGACGTCGGCGTCCTGCGGATCACGTGAATCGGAGCTGGTCACTAGCTGCCGGCTGCGTCTTGCTCGTTAGCGGTGGGCGGATTGGGGGCGATGATTTTAGCGCTCACTAGGACAGACCGGTAACCAGAGGACCCTCGGCACGCACAGAACGGCGCCAACGCAGTTTTCGGCGAGTCGCGTGCTTGCCAGCACGCGTCCGGTTGTCGCCTCACCTTCAGCTGCCCGTCGAGGGCGACGCCGCGGTCCATGCTGTTCTTGGCCATGGGTGTCAGATGGAACGTCTTTGAGAGAGAGGCGCCGGGAGTGATGGGGCAGCCCTCGCGTGTCTCCATCTCGGCCACCACGCGGGTGAAGTGCTTGTTCACCATGGTGACCTCGCAGTGCTGCACGATCTGCGCCTTGATGTTCTTCACCTGCTTGCGGGACGAGTTGTTGATGTTGATGTGGGCATCCACCTGTGGGAAATCGAGGTATGTTCGGTCAGCTCTGTCACCGGTAGCGGTCGGGTGCGTTACACCGGGATAAGTTGCGACATTGGAAGGGCAGCAAGGATCTCCTTTGAGGTAAATATTTAGCCACTAATCGTAAGTGGCTGCGAGGACGGATTTGAGTGGCTTCGTGCTATTGTGCTTTGTGCACTATGAGTGGTTTTGAGGGTGTCTCGTCCCCGAGCGGTTACTGGAGACGGCGTCTGAAATGAACAAATGACACGACGAACGGAGTTGATCTCGCTATCCGTGCACGCTCAGGACAATTGATAGCGCAATATCGGGCACCAGTCCCGGACTGCCTACGCGCGCACGGCCTGTGATATTCGGCTGTTATAATATCAGTTCGCGTTTTGTTTTGCAGTCCAGGCAGGGTACGTAGTTCACATTATTATCCAGCTTAAAGCACATGTTCGTTTGCCACGCAGTTAAGCTCCGTCCGTACTTCTATGGTTTTTTACATTTCTGCTGTTTTGCCGACCAGGTCATTTCCTGCACGTGCGACTCGACGGTGCAGATACCGTACGACTGAGGCTCCGGTACGGCGTTAGGTATGAGTTAATACGCTCCCCCCCCCCCCCCTTCTTCCGATTGTACGAACATAATCGTTTGCGGCGCCTTTCATGTGCTGTGTTCCTTATTTTTAGTAAAGTGAGGTTTTATTCTTTAGTTAACTAAGTAGTAAGCAATAAATTCGTATTACAAATCTGCTTTCCGCCTATTGCTTACAAATCCACCCACAAGCTCGGGGGCACGTGCGCGAGGGGGGTGGGGGTGGGCGGCACTGCCCGCTGTTAAACAAAACCGAGTTGTGCCATGTTGGACACATTCATTTTGATGCATAACATTTCATTAAACCGATCATGGTTGGCAATTAACAGAGGGCCGTCCGTTGTCGCGTGGTACTTGGCCGCGCTCTCTCATACCGGCTGTCCGTTACCTGGTCGAGGTGGTAGAAGACGTCCCGATCCAGGTTCACCTCCAGGTTGAGCTTGCCGGAGCTGAGGGTGAAGCCCTTTGTGACCAGCGTGCTGGGCTGCTTGGCCTGACGGTCCTGCTGGGCGTACTGGACCTGCGGACGAAAGGTGGGGTTTGGAGGCTGGCGAGTTCAATGGGGACACATGACGTGGGACGGCGAGATGTTTCTCCCGCCCTGTGGCGGCACCAGCCCTGGTGCGGGCGCAGGCTGGGGCCAGCAAACCGCGACTTCAACGCTCCTGTTTTCTCTGCGCAATTTAGGCGACAATTCTTAATCCAGCACAGTGCTGCGAATCGTGCACCTCCAGTGCTAGCGGCCGGCGTTGCGGCGCCAGAATTTTATCTACTGCACATGTCGCGACTGCACGGCTGAACGTGCTTCCGCCCGATGGCGTGCAGTCGGATCTGCTCACCTTGCGCACCACCATTGCCACAGAGGAGCGCTTGTGAGGCTTCTCTTCGTCGGTGTCAGCCACGTAGCACTTCATCTCGTAGCCCACACCCAGCGGCTTGCCCTAAAATTGCAAAACATGTGTTTGGAACGGCATGCGTCTCTGCGAACAATAGGTGTTGACAACTGGCAATCCGGTGAGATCCATTCCCGCGCGGAACGCAACGGTTCACTCGCCGCGCTGTCGTAAGTACACGACGGAACTTGTGTGCAGCTTAGTCGGGACGTTAGCCTGTTCATAGTTCCTCCGTGAGCCAGTGCGGATGTCGGCCGAAACCGGCGCGGGGGTCGCTCGGCTGGCACCAGCTCACCGTTGTTGGGTCGCCCGGCAGCAGCGTGACTGAGCATGGCGCTAGGCCTGGCAGCTGGAACTTGAACGGGAAGGCGTTTGGCCCCAGCTTCTTCAGGAGGCGGTCCTGCGGCGAGACGAATGTGAGACATTGAGGCGCGTGTGCAGAGCGCTCGGGTGGGGGCTCGATGCGAGTATGTTAGGGGGGGGGGGGGCTTAATAATAACGGTGGATATAATTAGATAATATATATAATATATAAATAAATAAATATATAATATATAATTAGTGATAACAGGACGGAGGAGGGGAAGTTTCTGTTCGAACCCCTATCCGTAAGCTGCAAATGGTTTAAAACAGTTGAAATTGTGGAACGGAAATAGGTGACAGGTTTTTGTTTGGTTCCGTTCCAGCAGAGCTGAGTATAAGTAAATGTTTGGGAATTAATTCCGGCTCGGAGTCCGAAAAACGCGGCGTAGCCTTGAGCTGAATCCTATCGCGATTCAGGGGGAGGGGGCAGGGACGGCTCGGCTCTGAATCGGTTCCGATGGGGTCGACTCCGGAATAACAGTCTAGCGATGAACCCGTTTATGGGCATCATGGAAGTCTCTTAGAGTACATTTTGGAGAGGCACTAGGCAGCAGGTGGCAATCTGGTAGTAAAAGTATGCTATTATACAGAAAAGCGCCCAACTTGGTGCACGAGTGAACTGCTCGACTAACATCCCGTCGGACATATATTCAGGCCGACTCACTGCTGTGCGACAGCGCTGACTCCGGCTCACCGCAATCGGAGTTTGAGCCTCCGGCAGAGGTTCAAGTGAGTCTTTTACACTACCAGCAACAATAGGTGTTCCGTAGTCGGACAAGTCTGACAGGCAGCAAAACTCGCGAAGCATGCGTCGCGTCTCGGCGCCCCGCGTTACTCCAAGCACCGGCGTTAGGCATATGTATGAGTCGTGGATATGCTATTGACCTGCAGTTCGGTGAGCTCCCCAGTGTTGGCCTGTGGGTATATCTGGTCCTTGAGGAGCACCATCTCCTTGGCGAAGTTGAGGCCCATGACCTCGTCCTCCTCGCGTCCATAGCGGTAGGTGACGACAACCTGCAATTGCAAATGCGCACAGCGCGACGGTAAGGTTCGGCGCTAGCGATCCACCGCGGATCGTCTCCCAACACGCCACAACTGTCCAGGTAAAGCTATGTCTGCAAGCCGAGCGCTCGCATCAGTGTTTCTGGCGTACAAACCCGTCCAGTTCCCCAGCTCACAGCGTCCGGACCAATCTCTCAGTTCGCCATAAACACGGCGGTGACGGGCATATAGCACCTACCGTTCCGTAGACCTTCCTGTTCTTAATGTATCCATCTTCGACAACGATGACGCCGTCCACCGGATCGGTGTGATCCAGGTGGTCGACGAAATCGCGCCGCCCCAGGTAGACTGTTAGTTTACCTGCGGGCGGGGCAGCCCCGTTTGGTGTCAACGGGGAGCCCTTGGCACGGCCGACATCGGAACGCGCGGTCCAGAACCGCCCCTGCAGCGTCGCGTGCGGTGCCTTGCAGCCGTGAGAGTGTCTAACGCAAGAGAGTGATTTATTTGGAGGGGAAGGCAGGATGAGTTCGCTGTACGGTAAGGTGCACAGACAATGACAATGTACAGACTGTGTCGCGGATGCGTAGTACCACGCCTTGCGCTTTATATTCCCTATTGCAATGATCTATTTACTTCCATAACTCGTAAACTCACCGCGAAATTTCACATCTCTTCATATGAGGGGTCACTTTCCTAACTGGTCAACCCACTCAGGCATAATGCGTAATGTCTTGGGTCCCCACTTCCGCACCACTGATAGTCCGTTACTATTTTGCGGATTTACATTCGCGGATTCTGCGGATTTACATTGCGGACTTACATTTGTGGATTTACAGACCATTACACATCCGCATTTCCGATTGAGGTCATTTCTTTCAGTCGTTTACGGACAAAATGGCTTGGTAAGTTTCGGAGGTTTGAAGTGACAGAAATGACGCACGCGGCGATCGCCTGCCGTGATGACAGTACATCGGTATTCGTCGCAGAGCTGTACTCACCATTAGGACTGCTCTTCTTGAAAACCTTGACGGCCACCACCATGAGAAGATCGGAGGGTCTGGAGATGTATCACCGACACTCGCTGCAGCAGAACGACCCCCACCGAATGGAAACCTTTCATACGGACGGACGCTTTATGCTGCCGTTAATAGGATCTTCGTCGGCGAAGCCGCAACAGTGCCAGGGCTTTCGACTGGCGCCAGGCGCCGCGCGCGGCTGCCTTGGCCGCGCCATTGCCAGCCGCCGAGTTAAAGGGATTGGACGCATCCAAAAATCATCGTGGTAGATGCGTAGGAAGCTGCAGAATGCCCGCAGGTTTCGATGACATCTGGGACATCCTACGGCGAATTAGCGGGTCGAGGGTTCAGTTTACACCCTCATCCCTCAAATCTTGATAAAAGATGGCCACAGAGGTGATCATCGCATAAAATGTCAGGCGTCTTCAGGCAGCACTGAAGACACCTGACATTTTCAGGTCTGAGTTGAGCGGTTTCCTAGTTACAGCTTCCGGCCTTCCCTTGTATGGTTGAAGGGCTGTGTTCTGCGGGGACTTTTGTCACCACGATGAGAAAAAAAACATGAAAACCTTTTTCGTTAAAGCGTTTCGAAAACCTCCGAGAATGTGTGTCGTCCTTGGAATCATCACTGCACAAGACGTATTGATTGTGACACTATGAACATCTGTAATGCATTCAGAACAACTTTTCTGTGCGCTTTGGAACCTACCCTCATTTGCACCTGAAATGGGCGTTGTTTGAACCCCATAATCCAAACATAAGGCGGTTACCGTACGCTTCATTCGCGCCATCTGCAGTCGGCTGCCGACGCAGCATCTCCCAAGCGTCTGCCCGCACAGGCGGCGGCAGGATGCGGGGGGGGGGGGGGGGTTATGACAGGCTGGTGAAGGGCGACAGCAGTCGGCATCAGTGACGGCAATGGCTGGGTCCTGATGCAAGTGCCTCCTGACCTGGAATCACAATACTCTGCTCCTGAGCCACCAGGTTGGGTCAAGCCTGGGCCCGTCATTTTGTCTTCTGCGGCCGGAAACCATCCGAAGGCTCCATACTTTGCCCATGATTATAAAAAGATGGAGCAAAACAACAAAAACACAGTGAAATACGATTACTTTTGTTGGGAAGAAAAGGAGGCCACTGCGGGACAATACGAAGCTTAACAACACGATGACTCGTATGCGCGTAGAAGTCGACTCAGTGCGCCAGCGACTTAGCTAACTCGCTAACTCATCGAGTCTTGAAATCAAGCGGCCGCTACTTCCTATCAACGCCTGACACTAACTCACGAACAGTGGCGGTCCGAGCACTCACTGGGGCTACTCTGTGAACCTTAAGTGTCCCGTCGACAGTCTTGGCCGTAGCCAGTCTGATAGTAAGCTCATCTTCTCCCCGAATGACTTCTCTTGATAGCAAGTCACACACCGTCTGCGCATAGCTTCTCAGCAGAGAATATGATCGGGATAGGGATGCGACAGGATTATAATCAGGATTTAGCCACTAATCACAGGTTTACTTTTGGAAGTCGGGAACCAAACTACGCCCTTACATGTGCAAATGAGGACAGGATCAGTGTCACGTAGGAAATTATTATTCGTGCATTGCAAAAGTTCATAATGCCATTAGCATTACCTTTTGTACAGAAGAGCTTTCAAGAATGCCATACAGACATTTTGGGCGGTTTCTGATCATTTTAACATATATATTTGTCAAGTTATCTTTTAAGCAAGGAACATCGCCGCCGAACGTGGCCTTGCAACCACACAACTCGAAGTTGGTGAGAGTCAACTTCGAAACTGTGCAACTGCGACATTAAGAATGTCCCGGGCGACTTCAACGCTGGTGACAACCCAATAACCCAATTAAATCCAAATCTGAGGCACGAGGGTGTAAGGCACTGGGCCACTTATCATGGAATGCTCCATGTTTCTTTTTGCCTCCCTTTTGCTTTATTAATTTTATACAGCTTGCACGGAACTGGTGGTACATCAGGTGTAACTTCCAGTAAAGCGTTCTAGTGCACAGCGTTACAGTCGGGGGAAATTTTAATTGTTGCGCTATTTAAGGTATTTGGGGGCTACTGCATTTGGTTTTTCTCGAATTGTGACTGCGTGATGGCTCAAGATCACAAATGCTCAAACTTGATATGAAATTTTGGTTTAATTTGGTAGTGATCATTAACGGGAATGTTTCACATTTGAAGATGTCGAAGTAAGCATCGGATTTGATGATACAAGCTCATTTAGAACCATTAGAATGCTTTTTAAGGGAAAAGTGTCCGTTAGGCAACACAAGTTCTCTGTTTAGTGAACATGCTCCTCGATAAGCCATTGTTTGATTACGTCATCTTATCTTACGCAACATTCATTGAGAGCCAATGGACATCCGTTATATCTGGAAAGCCGGCTCACGAACGCCAGCTGGTTTGCTAAAAAGGTTCTGACTTTTAAGACAGAAATCGGCCGGGAGCCTTGGAGCGACCTGGAATTTTGCACAATATGACCTTGACTTTACCTTCAAAGTTAACCTAGGGTGGTGATGACTTATAAAAAAAACACCAGGTTATGCGCTGAATATTACTCTGATGCTTACCAATCTGAAATCATCGGCCGATATATTTTTGGTGACACAGAGTCGATCGTCGTTTGGCCATGGAGGGAAAGGGGGTCTCGAGAGACCACAGTTTGGTGATGGACGCATTTAATACGTTGAAGAAGATTCCAGTGCGTAAAAATGTAAAATCGGCTGGTTAATTGGGTGACATGGATTCCTCCGTTGGCTTCTCTTAACTTTGGTCTTGAGTGGTGATATTGAGATGTCAGAACATTTGACGGATCTAGTGTATGCGCTGATGAATATTTCGAAGTTTTAAAACGCGAGATTGGCCTGTTGCTTTAGGGTGTTGTGGAGTTCTCCGTCACTTGACCTTGACTTTGATCGCAAAGGCCACGCGATAATGAAGAACAGGCGCCAAATTTAGTGTTCTGGTGCCGAAAACTGACGGTCTCATATACTTAAACAAGATCTCGTTTTTACTTAAACAAGATCTCGTCTCTAAATAAGTTGCTAAATAAACACGGATGCTTTTGATGGATGAGCCTGATGTAATCTGGAATGGCCATGAGGTGCAGCAAGCTTCGATCCTGAATGAGAGAACACCTGAGTGCCGTAAGCAGCATAAATAATGTGAACCAAAATACATCCGGCGGGCAAAATAGGCGGCACATGTATCAGGAAAATTTGATGGCCTCAGGTTGCTGCACAGTGGGAGGAGCGTAGGCATACCAGCTAAGAGGAGGTTCCCTGATGTGAGGAAGAGAGGACCTTCAGCTCCTGCCTTTTCGGCAGTGTGATTTCGGAGTTATTTTGCTCACTTGGTGCGTGGCGCGGGCCCGGTCGCATCCGACATAATCGAGTGACTGGAAGGCACCCCGCACCTTGGCCCCTACGGGGAGGGTTCTCGGCTATAAGTCAACGAGGGTGGAGCTGCGGCCTTTTCGGGGTGGGTTTCCTTCCGTAGTTTCCACTTGCATTGTGTCCTGTTTACATTATTACATTTCCGTACATTGTGTCCTGTTTGGTATTCACAACGCAAATTTGTATTTGTGTGCTTAAGAAAGTGGCGTTATAGTTTTAAGACGCGTTCTGGATTGTGGAATGGTCCAAGATTTTCGTGTACTGATTGAAAAAAACAGAAGGCATTAAACAAGTGCAGTGCGCATATATTTTCCTTCTTAGTACACTGTGCCGGAGTTCCTAACGTCAAATAAATTTTTCCTGGCGCGCACATCGACGCCGTACGGCAGACGGAGCAAATGTGCAACAATCTGAACCACGAAGCATTGATGTAGCCAACTGGTGCAACGCGATATTTCGTGGTAACGGCTGGCGAACAACGCGAGAACTTAACATATTGGCAGTACTCGAAGTTTAAGGCTGCGCTTATGATCGAGGGTGCTCACGAGCTAATGATCACGAATGATCATAAGCGCAGCTTGAAATGTCGTGTACTGCTTGCTCTATAATATCGCTTAGCCAGCACCCCCCGGTATCCTGAAGGGCGATAAGTCCGCGTAAGAAGTACCGCCCTGCCTGTACTCGTACTCGTACTCGCCTGCCCGCCGTCGAAGATGGTCGCCACGCCATCCCCGCATAGGTATGTGAATGATATGTGTAAGCGAGAGGCTATTCCCCGGTATAAGTCAGGAACTCAATATCCACGCTCAGCCTTGTTCAAGCATGCGATGACAGAATAGCAGATGAAAATGAGCCATACAGCTACGAGTGCGAGTGAAAAGAAGTGATAATGAGCGGTCAAGTAACGTTGTTGGGTTGGGCGGTTAAGCGACGGCTACCTGGCCGGCGCCTGTGGGCTCGGGGCGGTCAAGCCTCCCTGGCGAGAGGCCGGTGCTCATGCTCTGTTTCAGCTCGCTGTCATGCTTATCTCGCTAAGATTAAAGAACGCAAAAACCTGAATTTGACCACTACGGTGTTCAGCAGCGCACCGGGGGTAAAGCATGTGTGTGACCAAAAAACGTCGCAATTGGGACCACTTTCAGTGAGATAAACTCAGTTATTGCTAGGATTAGGGAGGGGGGGGGGTAAGCCATCCTGGTATATTTCAGTATACCAGGATGGATATGTATATATATATATATATATATATATATATATATATATATAAGTCACGATCCCGGGGTGGGGGCATGGGCACCAGTCGCTATGTCGCGCGTGGAGCGCCGTGCACGGGGAGCAGGACAATCCGTGACCGGAAGGCTGGGCGTGGTGATGAAGTTAACGGGTCACTGGGGACCCAGTCAACAGGAAAGCGGGTTAAGTCCCTTCCCGAAATGTCAATGTGACAACGGGTTAACCATCCGTCAGCAAGGAACTACTCATGCGAGGCCCTCAACCACCGTAAGCTGCGGGTATACGTTGACTGTTGACGCAGTTGACTGTCCCAAGAGGAGTAAAACGAGAAATCTACAGAATTAATTGCTGTAAACATGACGGCGCATGTACATAACATCATACGTCCGGGCGTTTGGGGGTGGTTGGGATGGGTGCGAATCATGCTTTCGCGAACTTTGGGGATGGGAAGGGAGCATGGACCCCTCGCTCCCCTGAATCCGCCCTTGCGTCAATCAGTCGATGAGTGCCAGTTCAGGATCAATTTCAATATGACGTAAGTGTAGGCACTTGGCTTCGGACATCTCAAATAAACAAATTATTTTTGTTAGGGCTCACGGTCCTCAAAGGGCAAGGTCTGGGAACATTGTTGATACCGTATGTTTGTAATGTTTGATGCCTTCGTCATACAAAATGAATAGCATAATGCGAAAGCTATGTTACAACTAAGACATAGGCCAGTAGTATCGTCCATACCTGACATCACACCAGGGCACGCATCGACGTCGATTGTGAATATTGAAATGCCGCAAGCACATTTTCTCCAAAGCTGAACACAGCGTGTCTTAAAGCCGGAGAGAAAAAGATGGGAAGAGGTGGGGTTGGCGAGTCTCCCCTTGCCCAACTTTCAAAACGTTACCGCGCCCGCCCCTTCTGGACCTATCCTCTCATCCCGCGGCGCTGTCTCATCGCATGCTATGGATGCACTTAAGACCCAGGGCACTAGACTGCCGTGCTAACTATTAAGGTAGCTATCTAAAAGAAAGCTGGAGCTGAGGCTGAAGCTACCTACTGCCAAAAGACCGTTATGTTGTTCCTTGAAGCAAATTTGGGGGTGGTGGAATCCTTTTTACATATCTGAAATTTGGTAGCTTGTCATTAGCGGATATATGGCGCCGATGTTTCAACTAACGTTTCCAGTAGCTGAGTCGCGGAGTGCTGCTCTGGGTGCCGGGTCGCGGAGCCCCGCAGGGTTTGAATTCGCCGATTGTCAGTATGGAAGTAGCTTTTAATCCACCCTTTTTGGGAAAATGTCAAAGACCTCATTTTTGTGATGAGGTTACCGACATTGGCGATTTTTGCAAATCGTTTGGTGCTGAGGTAGCAAAGCTGGTAAATAAAAATCAGAATGACGCCAAGTCTGAGCCAACCATTGAATCATTTATGGAGATGTCCAAATCTGCAGTTGAAGAAGGTAGCTCAAATATGCTCGTGAGTACCATAGATTGCCTGTATTTGACTGTCTAAACAGTAAAACTTGATTGCTTTATGGTGCATGTGCTGAGAACTTGGGGACCCCAATCATAAAAGTGTGACTTGCTGCATGCGTGCTGACTGTTCAGTCAATTGGAAGTCATGATTTTGATTGCTTACCATAAGGGTAGGTTACATCAAAATCTTTCTGGGTTGATTTGATGGAGGACAAGGCAAGGAGTTGTGTGACAGATGCGATGCGGAATCTGTGTCTGGCCTGTGTATGTGGAAGTATTGATGGCTAGATTCAAGATTGAATATTTATAATGGATCAGCAGCAGTGTTAAGCTAATTATGTACATTTGGTTTTATACTGTATTATTGATTCCTGTTTTTTAGGGCAGGGTGAGCAAGGTAATGCTGGACTTGGTGCATTTTATGATAAAAGTGAACATTTGATGACAGGCCCACTTTGTGTTTTACCCCATTTTTCCTACACTCTCATTTTCTTCCTGCTATAAGGTTTTGCAGCTGGCACAAGACAGGCAGCTCATAAGGGCCAAGTGCTTCCAAAAGAATCTGCATGTGTAGCATAGATCATGTCTGATGCTGTGCTATAAATAGGCATTTCCCCTGTTGACTGATAATATCATTTGCAGCTGATATCTTTCCAATTCTTTGTTTTCTGGACTTAAAGTCAAATGTTTGTGGGTCTGTGAATTTGATATGGTGTGATGATAGAACAGATGTCAAAAACAAAGGTGTCAACCAAGGTAGAAAACATCTCCCTTCAGGGTCTTTTGTAGGGGGGACATAATTACCTTCATGAAGATCACAGTAACTCAGTCATCATTTCTCACAATTCCAGCTGACAAACATTTTTGCTATCAGAAGAACATAGCTGATTAAGGTGTACAGTGTTACACAGTATTTGCATTCCTCACTACAGTTGTTTTACACCTTGTTTGAACTAACACGGACTTCAGTGAAACTTAACATAGGAGAAAATGTCTTCAGGCCTCAGCACAAAAGCTGAACATTTGGAACACAAAGTAAAGCCCATTTGATGGTTTCATTTTGAGAATGGTTCTCACTTATAAATAAGGTGTTTCAAAAGGCTACTATTTTTCATTGGATTGGATCACATTGCTTGCATACAGATGTCAAGTGTACCTTCAAATGGGCCCAGCCAACATTTCAGCATGTTATTTCGGTTGAATGAGCTGCGTTTTTTGTGTTTGAATTGAAGAAAACCGCAACGTAGTTTCGGACGTTGCAATCTCCAATGATAACAGCAAGATGGTACAGTCAGTTGCACCCTCTAACACCATGCAGAGTAGCTCGTGGCCGGCGGCGTCAGGCCGAGACCACGCGAAGCGGATGGGAAGCAAGTATGCACCGAGGTGCTTACCCAGCGTGCGACTGGACACTGGTGGCCATATCGTTGATCTTGAATGTTACCAACGAGATGACCTTGGATATGTAGCCCAGCGTCATTGTAGCGGATTCATAATTCCTTCGTCGCAAATGAAGTCGGCCGGTCCCGTCCATAGAGGCGGACTATTGGCAAGGTGACCTGCCTGGTGGTTGCTCTGTTGTGAACATGCAGCCAGCGCCGCAGGCGATGAACCGACTAACGACCGCGTCCCCGACGCCGTCCACCAGCAGAGTATTCCGGTAGGCTCCCGAGCTCAGGGGACTCCTCGTCCATGAACTGGATGGTGGCGTCCATGAACGAGGCTTGTTGCGTGGCGCCGGTCGTCGTGGTGCCTGCGGAAAGGTGCCTCCCCTGTTAGTTTGTCCGCGGGACGGTGAATGGTCGGACTTGGGCGGACGACCGTGCAGTGAGAGTTGCGGAAGTGACTTGGGCCGAGCCTTTGGCCTTGACCCCGCAACGGAGCTGCCGCCGGGAATAAGTCTCTGGATCTGAAGAAGTAGGTGCTAATCAGACTGGTGCTTCACGCCAGTATTCCATGCACGGTGTCATCGGAGACCTGCATCACACGGAGATACCCACAGCTTCCCATGCACGCAAAACCTCGGCCGTTACCAGCAGCGGGACCGAGTTGAAATTTAGTGGATATGCATATGAAGATACACCCAGTTGCTTGCAGAGGGGGGCGTAGATAACTGGCGTAAAATGCCATTTCTACCTACCATAATGCTTGTGTATACGGCTCTAACGACGATTGGAGCTCCAAACGATGAACTCTGTGTCTGGACTTCTGCTTCAGTGTGGACCAACTGACATGCGATGGAGAGGACATGTTGGAGAGAAAGCTCAAGGTGGACACGGACCTGGACGGAAAGTCAAACTTCCCAAACTTACCTGGTAAGTTGAACATTATGCAGCGAGAAACTAGGTCTTCATTTATCAGTGCATTTACCTGCTCTTATCCGACGCTGGGTGTTAAGAGGTTGAAAGATTTGAGCTGATCCGCAACTACTTTGCCGGATCTACAGGTGTCTGTGGGACCATACTGTAGCATGCTGCGAAGGAAGCACATTATGGTCTATGTGCTGACATTTAGACAACACATTTTAACGTTTGAGCTGCAGGAATGCGTGTTTCGCGTTTTGAACCACCAGTGCTGCTGTGGCTTTGTCTGAGCGCGGCGAATGCCGTCAGACATGTCGCTGCCTTTGGGCGAGGATATTGACGAGCAGGCGGCGCAAGTGCTCGAAAGCCTCAAAACGCGGAAGCGCCGGCAAAACATCATCAAAAGAAGAACAGCCGTGGCTAAGATGCTCTTCGGCACTCTGCGGTTTTCGTCAGAAGTGCGGCTGGTGAGTGGCACATGTGATGCAGGATGACGTAGCACGTTGGCTCACCATGTCACATACGGAGTCAGATGCGTACACTCACACATGCACGCATCCATATACACCTACGCGAAGCCATTGCGCGCATGCGCGCAGCGCACGCATACACGGTGTGGAACTAGAGATAAGGGGTTCGCTTTCCCGCGGTGTCCGCACTTCCTGTGCCGGGATGACGTTCAGGCGAAGCCGTATAGTCTCAGCAGCTGAATGCGCCGTAAACCCCAACGACGCATACGACCGCTGGTCGCTTCTTAGCGCAGAAATGGTATTGCCGTTTTGGAGGTAGCATGACGTAACAGAGGGCGTTTGAGTTCGAATCTACATTTCAGTCTCATAAATAACGTGAGGGCGTGGGCTTCGTCACGGGGAGGGGGGGGGGGGGAGCGCCCCCTAACTTTTGCTGTAGGTCATCATGAAGCCGAGGGCGTTGCGTGGAGAGAGACGCATTAGAAACATCGGTTTCCATCCCACCTACCATCCTTCACTTTTCACACATCGCGGGACCTGTGCATTCTGGGTCATTGGCCTGACAAATTGCGCCCAATTTGTTGGACCAAAGATTTTTGTCACTGTTTCCTTTGTGGAGCCTGCCTTGTTCCAGTGCCGCCACGGTATACAGGCATGTGCTACTACCCTGCGATGTCCCCCAGGAGTCAGACGAGGCGAGCAAGCCGGCGAGGCGTCATGGCTTGAGACCGGGCAGCACGACAGAGCCGGTGATCACCGTCCGTGTTTACCAGCCGCCGGCAGCCAGCACCACCGTTGGCTCGTGAGTGGACCTGAAGGGCCGTGATCAGCCGCTGCTGATCAGCCAATAGCTCCGGCTGATGAGCATAGCAGCGTGCTAATCAGCCGCTGCGACTCTGTGAGTCGTCATTGCAGCTATACCGAGAGTTGCCAGGGTGTCCGGGGGATTTGGCTGGAAATTATTTGCCACTTTGCAGCGCTCCTGAAATGCAAAGATGGATTCGGAATTGCACAAACTGGAGGCAGCTTATCCCTGTCGCGTCATTTTTCATCTAAACAGTACTGCTGATCACTTGCGCCACCCAATGCAATTTCTTCGCCAACGGTATCAGCACCCACATGTACGTGAGCTGGATCTTGGGTCTTTTACTCGTATCCGAAGCGTTTCCTGCGCCCCCCCTCCCCCCCCTGCTGGCTGTGCGTGGGACGGGCCCACAGGAAGCCCATCTCCCCCCCGCTCCGCCTCCCAGCTGGGTGTGCGCCTGACCTGACGTGGTCTGCCTTCAGGTGCCTATCCTGGTTCAACATGTCCCAGGAGGTAGCGTGCCTGGGAAGCAACCGGCTTACCCAGCTGCGTGACGTCATCACCTGCCCCGAGGACCAGCTGGTGACGAACGACTGCAGCGTCGCGCCCCGCGGCACACCGCGTCAGCAGGCTAAGGTGGGACCGACTCCCGGGCTGTGCCTGACTGGGTCTGCACAGTTCGGGGAGACGGGCGCGTCAGGATTTCGAACCAGCTCTGTGTTCACAGCGAACTGATTGATGCAGATGGCACAGGGCCCAGGAAACCCGGCACATTGCGGATGCTCGTGCAAATATGTGGGAGGTTCTGGCCATGCCCCGGTCCATGGGATGGTAGCACTCGCCGCGGGCTCGTGACAGCCGTTGCGTCAGGAGGCAGTTCGTCGCGAGGCATCACAGCGACAGGTTTATTGCAATGCTTTTGATTTAGGTTACAGTTTATGGCGCGTCATTTTACACCGTTCGTCAGCATGCTTTAATGGTTAAGGGAGTTGGCAGTCAAACTTTATGTCATGATATTTTGTTTACCTACGTGAGTGACCCTCGTGATTTGCTTGCGTGGTGTCGTTTTTGATCCGTTCCATTTCGAGCGCATGGATGTCTTTTACTGCCTTGGTTCGCCATTATCATTATCATTGCTGCTGTCAATGTCGTTCCCACCCGTGCGTTGACTGGGGTGGAGGCAGTGGCGTGCATTGCCAGAAAGGTTCGGGGTGTGAGGGAGCCCAGCCTGGCTCTCAACATGTCTCACCCCTTCCTCAGAGCATGTACCCATCGGGGTTCTTCTGCATCAACCGCGTCTTCTACGTGGACCAGCGTGACCCGAAACACATCGACTACAGCGAGGTGAGGCGCCGGCGCGGCGCTCGCCCCACCCCCTGCGCCTGCCTCCGGCTTTCAGCGCGCGGTGCCGCCGGCCGTCCGCCGCCCCGCCGCCCCGCCGCCCCGCCGCCCCGCCGCCCCGCCGCCCCGCCGTCCCGCCGTCCGCCGTCCGCCGCCCTCTCGGGCCGTTCGCTACCGCTTCCGAGCTGGCCACAGCTGGACGTTAGCTCTGGGGGTGTGGTCGACTGTAGAGGGGGCGGGCCCGGCGCGGTCCCTCCGTCGGCCGGCGGCGTCAGGGCGGTCCAGACAAGACACATGACGCAGTGACCGTCAGCCGGTGTGGGCGGCGTGGAGCCCGCTGACGGTGGCGCCGTCCGCCCCCAGCCGATTCGGAAGTGGGCGGCCGCGCAGCTGGCCGGCGACCTGCCCACCCGCTCCATGGAGGACGTCTGCTTCAGCGGACCTGAGCGTGAGACTCGGCTACCCGTACATCTACGTGCACCAGGGCTGCTGCCAGCACCTGTTGGTGTTCTCCGACGTGAGGTGAGTGTCTCACCCCCGCCGCCGGTCGGTCGCGCCGGGGCACGGCCGGCCACCTGCGGCTCGCCGCACGTGACCACGACCGATGACGGTGCTGTGGTGGTCACTGTACTGCCGTCTCCGTCGACGGCAACTCCCTGTCGCCGGCCGCGCTGCCGACGCTGCCGCTGCTCGTCGGTGCGGTGGACTGCGAGCTTGCCGCCTCGCCGTGCGGCGTCGGGCTCGCCTGCTGTCGCGCTGAGTGCATCTTGCTCTCGCCGCCGCGGTCCAGCTGCGCCTCGATCAGCCCGTCGAGCGCGGCAAACGCCCAGTCAAGGTCGTCGTTGACGACGACGGCGTCGAAGGCGCCGGCGGCGGGCGCGCCGCGCAGCGCCGCGGCCAGCTGCGCCTCGGCGCCGGCCAGCCGCGCCTCGGCGTCGCGCCGCGACAGCTGGTCGCGCAGCATCAGCCGCGTCACCAGGCGCTCGCGCTCGGACACGTCCACGAGCACGAGCAGCGGGCGCGGCGCGTCGGCCGGCGGCCGGCCGCGCAGCCGCGCCAGCGACGACAGCGGCGCCTTGAGCAGGCAGAGCGGCGCCGCGTCGGCGGCGGTCGTGCGGTCGAGCGGCGTGCCGTACAGGTGCCGGCCGCACCGTCGCACCGCCACGAAGCGGCCACGCTCCAGCATGGCCTGCAGCTGCGCCGGGCTGGCGCGCTCGAACAGCTCGGCGTCGGGGTCGGCGGCGACCGGCGGCCGGTCGGTGACTTCACGCGGCACGCGCACCGTGTCCGGGTGCTCCAGGAGGGCGCGCACCATGAGGGCGGTGCGGCCAGCGGCCGGCAGGCCGAACAGCAGCAGCGCGCGGCTGCAGCCGGCGTCGGCCGCTCGCCGCCGGCGCGCCGGCACCGGCGCCTGGGCTGCGCTTCGGATCAGCGGCGGCCAGACGGGCCGCAGCCGGCCGGCCCAGCAGGCGGTCCAGCGTCCACGCCCAACGCACCGCTCAGCGCGCCGGCCAGCAGCCAGCGCCGGTCCGGCGACATGTGACGGGTCGCTGAGCTCGCCGGTTATGTCCACTCAGCGGCTCTCTTCGGCTCAGCACGGCACGTGATGTGGAGCTCTGGGGGAATTTGTCTGCGTGATGTCTGGAGTTTGGCTAGTCACTCTTGAAATTTTCCTTCTGTATGTTGCTCGTTGATTTAAAAATAGTAATTGTTTACTTTGGCCAAGCTGAGTGGCCTTTTCTCGTATGGTAGCAATAAAGTAGTTTTATAGCGAAGCACGTACATTGGTCAAATTTTATGTTATGGTAACAAAGCGAACCGGAAATTTTTGGCCAAAATCTTATTGGATAACATCTGTTTTCCGTGGTTGCCCGGAAATTCTGCCATGCTCGAGGCTGTTATTCACGTAATGCCGCTGTTTGCGCTAATGCTTCTCAATCGAACACATCACGCCACCTAGTTTTAGAAACGAGAACAGGCGCGAAGTGTCACTACGTCCCGTTGTGTAAGGGGAGGGGGAGGGGGTAGAGGGGATCGATGTTAACACAGGATTGGGCCCTTTCTTCTCTTTTTTCGACCTACCCGTCACCTATTCACAGCCCACCACCCATCACCCATGACATTCACCTCTAGTGTGACAGTGGCTAAGTATTGAATCAATGCCATATTTTACACTCATGATTACCTCCAAGAGAGGCATCTGTTCATGAGAAGACACTCAGGAGAAGGGTAACATCACTATCTGAACCATCCTATTGTGTGTATTACATGAGGTGAAACAAAGTGATATATAAAGCAATCGTGGGATGATCATAGATTTAGCTGGAACCCGAACGAACAAATATGGAGAGAAAACGGGTTACCGCAATAAAAGAAGGCAAACGCACAGTATTTGAGAACTAGCCTTCTCCGGAGCGGTTGTACTGTCGTTTCCAGACATTTCCGACTAAATCCATCACAGTGGATGCTCTTCAGGCATGTGCGTGGATCCCAAGGGTGGATCCAAAATCGCACGTGTGTGAAATCCCGGTCTTTTATTATTTTCCAGGATATCTTGAATCCCGATCTTTTCATGGTTCCAGGCACATGCCTGATACACTTGACCACCCCAGGACACGGTGGCTGCGGTCAGGCCCATTGCGTCCCAAACCGTCAACACATAATGACGGCTCAGGTCCTTGCGCTATTCGGAGTCTAGCCGCCGGAATTATTTGTTATTATGTGTACAAAGGTACTGATGTATTGAGGACAACATAACAGAAAGGTTCTGTGACGCCCCTCAATCATTTGTGACGTCAGCCGAAGCACTCGGTCCATGAACTAGTGTAGACCCATGTGTCGTTATTCGAAGCCCCCTTTGGCCGATCGTTCGGTCTCGGCTCGGACTCCGTCTCAGCCAGGCACCGTCTCCGTCCCGCAGGCTGTTCCACCAGACCAGCGTGGCCGACCCGCAGGCGTATCCGGTGGTGCAGGCCGTTCGGCGCTCGCTGCGCCAGGTCTGCCAGGTGTGCGACCGCCAGCACGCCAGGTGAGCGCGCCGTCGGAGGGGCGGGTCGGCAGGGCGCCGCGGGAGCGAAGGACGGACCGTCAGAGTGCCAGGGGAGCGAGGGACGGGCCGTTAGGGCGCCGAGCCGGGCCGGGCCGGGTGCTGACGTGCCGAGCTGAGGCCTGAGCCCTCCGTGTGGGGGTCTGGTGTGGCGCGAGTCCGTCCGGCAGCGGCTGTGGGGAACGCCGACATTTGGACAGAGGTGCAGGGCTCGGCCATCAGGTACGTCTTCCGCGCGTGAAACTCGTGTATGCTTCTCCGTTAAGCGAAGTGCCGTTGCGTAAGCACTGTGGTACTATTGACTGAGGTATGCCTATATAACTGAATCGCTGTCATTAAGTATCACTCTAGGTATTATTAGTATCCGTCAGCCTAATATAACTGAAACGTAGCTAACTTTCAGTGCAACATAATGCGTCGCAATAGATTAAAAACAAAATTAAGAGCACTGCGATAACTTCTGCCGATTAGCTTCGCCTCTTGGCGACAGCGTGCGAAGCTTTGAGGTTGTTTGTGCCGAAGGATTTATGTTAACTGGAAGCTTGGTGCATGTTAAGCTTAAGTTAACTGACTCCACACGTGGTGTTTAAATCTGCGCGTACCGCCTTTTTGTCGTAAAATATGCATGGGTCCAGAACATTTAGGATTTGAAGTCCCCCAGCTCCCAGTACTTGGCCGTTTCCTCGCCTGATGTGCTACGGGCTGACACCGTCTCCTTTTACGATAACTGACCATCTCGTACTGACCACGCGCTCTGCGCAGGTGGCTGACGATGGACCACGAGCTGACGCCCACCGATCCGACCTACTTCTGCGAGACCTGCTTCAGGGGCTTCAACTACCGCGCCGGCCGGCGCATGGGCTCGTTTCGGGCGTACCCGTACGAGCCGGACCCGCCGGCGGCGCAGCGGACGACGGCGCGCGACCCCGCTGCCGAGGCGGAGGGCGCCGCCACCTCCTGAAGCCGCGTCCGGCGACGGCAGCGGTCGGACGCGCTGAGATCGGCTGCCTTGAGCCAGGGTGCGGACTTGGAGGTGGCACCGGGTGGCTGGACGGGTGCGCTGCTGCGGAAGCGGCCCTGTGTCGGCGGCAGAATGGGATGTCGTTGTTCACGCGGCTGCTGTGACGTCGCGTTGGATTCTTTGTGCATCGATCGTTTCGGGTCGTTATGGAGTATTTGTGCAGCGAAGCTCGTAGCAATACAGCTATCCTTTCGTGTACCCGTGTGCTGCGCATTATCACACGCTGAATTTGAGTCGAACGAATCAACAACATTGTTTTGCTAACCGTTTTTGATCAAACCTAAATGGCGGTCCGCGAGCTAAGTCTGCTTACCGGCATAAAAAAGTGTACGAGAGTTCCCCTCATCGCCGAAACTATTCGTAATCCGACATACATTCTATTGTAACATGGGAGCAATGGTTTGTTTTTTCTCACCCAACTTTTCAACACTGAGCAGGGATGATGAGCAAGTTACCAATGCGCTAAATGTTAGATGGAACGATTCAACGTTCCTCCGCAACCGTTTCTCAATACTAAGAACAACGTCTTGCACAAATTCGTCTTTGCCCGCGGTCTTAAGTATCAGTTGATACACGCCCAGATGCCAGCTGAATACCATTCGCTCGGGTGGCAGCGGGGGGGGGGGGGGGGGTCAGTTTGACCCATTGGGATCTCAAAAACCAGTAGGGCTAGAGGCACCACATTCATAGGGTGGGCTGGCCCGTATGTGAACTCAATAGTATGGAAATTTCGGGTTCCTAGGTGATGACCTTCGGGCCAAATAAGGTCAGAAAAGGCAAAGTACCAGATGTGTCCAAAGCGCCCCCAGACCCGTGTATAAGTAATGTTGGTATACGTTTTTGCAGTAGAAGTAGTGACGGTCTTGATCTTTGAATCACGAGTTTTGTCACGCAGTCATTATGTTGCGTTTAAGTTTTTGCAGTATAAGTAATGTGCGTGCGTCATGACTGTATCATTTTTTGCAGTAAAAGTAATGACAGTATGCATTTTTAGCATAAGCTTTTTAGCATTAACTCGTGTATTAGTATTGGCATTGAAAGTTATGTCGTAGTGCTCCTGTCAGTAAGGCTTTTTGTCACAGCACGAATGTCGTAGAACCACCGGCCAGTGCTTGGGTGCAGTCGCGTTGTAGCACCGGTACAGATCACTGCAGGGCTGGGCCGGGCTGCCCCACGAGGTCACCACGGTCGGCAGCTCAGCAGCTTTGGCCGGCAGTGTCATCGCCGCCCGCAGCAGATCTGGCCGGCCACGAAGGCATCCTTCCCCCAAACGGTAGCGATGCACTGGGCCTGGTCATATACGACATCCGGGTTGGGCAGGCAGAACGTGTCGATATGCTCCTGCAGCTCGACGGGCTCCTCCAGGAAGAAGCAACACCGCGTCGTCATTGGGGCGCCGCAGCCGAAGATTATCTTGCGCCACGAAATGTGCCATGTTCACATCCACGTGTCGGAAGCGTTCGCTCTCCGGCGGCGGTCAACGCCACCTGCGGGTGAATAAGCGAGCCGCCGCACTCGAAGAAGTCGCGCTCCTCGCCGCCCACCTTCTCCAAGCGCAGCACGACCGCCATCCGGGGAATCTCGCCAAACTGCGTCTTGTCTTTCAAGCCGATGATTCGTGCGCCGATGGCGAGCTGGTTTCGGCGGCCGCACTGCGGCACGTAAGGCTTGGAGACGCTCAGGCTCTCTTCGGTCGCGTGCAGCAGACATCGCCGAATCGCGGGCACTCCGAGTGCATGAAGAAGTCAAATTCGTCCTCGACCTGAGGCTTGTTGATGCGTAGGTCGAACTGGCCGAGTCCATCGGTGATGATGTTCGCCTCGTCGCAGCGGAAGTGGGGCGTGCAGACGTGCTGGCCGCTCTCGCAGCGCACCACCTCCTTTGGCGGCGACGTGTCGCCCAGCAGGTCGTTGATGAACTGGGTCTCGTCCGCGGGAATGGTGCTGGTGTCGCCGGGCTGGGAGTTGAGGATCACGTCGTTCTCAGTCTGCGGTCGGGCGAGCGCGCCGCCGTGCAACAGCAGCGCCCCGACTACCGCCATCAGCAGAGGCCCCATCTGAGGAGAGTGATGCGAGGCTTAGTGACGGAATTTGACGTTCGTACAGTGGGGCAGAAAAGCCCGGTGCCGTCGGTGAAGTACTGATCGTGTCAGCCGACTTCAAAGTAACTGGGGAAGGCGAAATATGTTCGAAAGTTGCCTTTGCGAAAACTGCCATAACCGACAAGTCGGTCCCAGCTCTCTGCTTCGCTTTCGGCTCTCTGTATTGACAATTGCTTGCTAACCCAAGTAGATTCTGGACAGCACATCCATATCGGCAAATCGAACACGAGTTGGAACTTTGTAATCGAAGCTGATCTTTTACATGCCAACCGGTATCACGTCTCTCCTCTGGCCGCTGTTGGCCATCACCACTTCGCACGAGCATGAAATGCACTCACCTTGACTGTAAAGCGTGAACAAACGCCGTGCCAATGTCCAGCGCTGTGCGGTCGCTCCTTGCACTGCTGTCACTCCTGCACGGTCGCTCCCTGCACTGTGGCGTCTCTCCTGCGCGGTCGCTATAAAGCCCCCGCTGAACGGAGCCGGTTGCTAACTTTCCAGCCGGCCGTGTCATCATCTTCGTGGGACAACCGCAGGCTCAGCAGTCCCTGAGTGACGTCAAAGCGAGGCAGGAAGCCTGGTAAAGCCTGGACTTGCGGGGAGGGAAAAAATACATACCCCTGCGTACGAAAAAAATACAGGTTACTGCCACTTTTAGGGTATCTTCCAGCTTGCACCGCATCCTGCTGTACTCTGGCTGCGTCAACCTTGGATGTTCAGCACTGTTGTTTTGCGAAAATTATAACCACAAGTAGCTTCGTATAGCTGCCACAGCTTCACGGGGTAAGGTAATAAACTTGTGAACATTTGGTGATGAACATGAACATAAGGTAACAAACCTGAACATTCCCCTTTTTATTTCCATACCTGAAACAGATTCAGAAATTGGTCGGAAGGGAAAGGGGAGGAGCGTGCATACACATTTATTTTACGGAACGGCGTTTGCAGGTAAAATTGGCTTTATTTCCCACAATTGAAAGCTCAGGAATGGGAACAAGTACGCCCCTGCTTCCTCTCCTGCATGCGCTGCTGATTTGTTGTTAAAATGGTATAGCCGCTCTCCTGCCTGTGCTATTTCAGGCGTCTCAACCACCCAGTGCCTGCGGACATCTTTCTCCCATCACGGTACTCGTTATCATGCAACTGGGCCCGGACAACATTTTGCCCACCGCAGGGCGCCAGGCTGACAACGTTGACCCCGCTAGTTCTGGGGTATTAAATGGGTCGAACCCCGCACCGAAGAGTCGACAGTCCAGCATATTACCTTTTGTGCACAATCATCAGGCGTACAATGCGCCGATAGCTGCAGTGGATCGCCTTCCGTTGTACGCTAGTTGAACGTCGCAAGATTTTTTGGAGTGGTTTCCACCTGCGTCATGTATTTTCTGCGATTTTTAGCCATTGTGTATCCATGGTCATGCGTTGGTCACGCTGGGCGACCCCTCTGCCACTCTGTCTCTCGTTATACTGCGTCAGCCGTCGCGCGCCAAGAGGGTAGGTTCCACCTTGTTCCTAATTCATCTGGAGTTGTAAAACGGTGTGCGCACTGCAAACAGTGCAAGACAGTGTGTTGCTTGTCATGAGAGGAAACCAACGGCATCCGATGTTCGGGTTTTGAACGTTTGCAAACAAATAAGCATGATTTACAAGGGCACCTGAGCGCAACGCTATGCTGTTCATCCCCCTGCCTCCACCTATCATTGTTACGATTTGGTTGCGCTCCATCGAGCCCCCTTTCCTTCCCCTTACCCTCCTTGCTTAACGTCATCTATGGGCAGACCCTTGCATCGTGACGTCACGAAGATTGCTCGTCATCTGCGACATTCGCAAACTCAGCCTAATTAAGCGAGCGGACTGTGTTACGCCGTCGCAGCACGTGATACCGGGGTGGCCGTAGGAACATCCATCCTAAAAGTATGGCTCGAACCCCACTTTGAAGATCCATTGCCTTACATAGATAAGACAGTAATCATAGTCCTATTCCTTGGAAAAAAACTCAAAGAGAATGGAGGTACAGATGCGTTGATATTTCGGCAAATACCTTTATCGAAACAACAGCAGAAGTGAATTCAAAACTGCCTGCCGATAATCCTACTTGATTTTTTTGCAGTTTTTTTATACAGGGAGCCACAGTTTTCACAGGACAGCACATTCAGTGGATTAACAAAGAGCAATTACCAGTCATTACTACGATGCAGTGCATATCTATCTAAGAATTAGAATGCGCAAAAATACACGTACATGTAAACGAATTCAAGTTAAGAGGCATCACGCATCACGCTTCATTCAAACATGCGAGCAAATTGAAGTAAACAGGCACCACACATCACACATCACTTCTATCTGCGAGCGATTTCAATTAAACAGGCATCGCGCATTACGCGTCAGGCATAACTTACACATGTTGGCGATCTTAAGCTAGCACCCGTCACACATCAAGGCATATACCACGTCCGCATAATGGGCCATGCTGAGCTCTGTACGTTGGGCTTTGGCCGCCGACCTTTTATAAGAATATATTCACTTATTTTCCTATCTTGGCGGTCCTGCGCTCTGTAGATGACTTTTAACTCTAAAAGGGGCATAGGGTTCACGCCTCCTTGGGTTTCAGCCTGAGAGTGTTTTGCCAAAAACTGATCGGCGAAATGGATATCACCTGCTTTGTTTTTAGCGTCTCGCAGGTGTTCATTGTATCTCAAACGAATAGCGCGCATGGACTCCCCGACACAGACTATATCCTTCCCATGTTGTTCACATAGTTTACACTTCATTTTGTAAACCACATTTTTTCCGTGCAAATCCCTTGAAACCCAGGCTTACATAAATTACATCTATTGCCACCCTGGCACTTAGGCTTTAATACAGAATATTTTACCGGAGGCTTTTTTAGCTTGTTGTCGCTCCTCCAAGCTGTACGTACGTGCAGTTTTGATTTTCTAACGATGTGTTTGATTTCCCAAAGCAAGTGCTCATCTATTTAGGGTAGCGCTAAGAATCCGTCGTCCGATGAGGCGTATAGGACGCATGTATTTATCTCGCAGCCTAAGTGCCCGGGTATAAATATATATACTTTATGCGAGCGTGGGTTGCAAGGGGTGGACATACAAAAACAGCGGTTTACGAAATTAAGTGTAAATCGTGTGAAAAACATGGTAGGGAAATAGTCCATGTCGGGGAGCCCATGCGCCCTATTCCTTTGAGGTAAAATGAACACCAGCGAGATGCTAAAAACAAAACGGGGAATACCCCTTTCGATGATCATTTATGGCAAAACACGCCCAGGCTGAAATCGAGGGAGCTATGAGCCGCATGTCTGTTGTAGAGCTTTAAGTCATCTACAGAGCAAGGGACCACCCGGACAGAAGAATAAGTAAACCTTCTGGCATTAAACGTCGGCAACCAAACCTTAACGTACAGGACTCAGCATGACCCATTATGCGAACGTAATATGTGCCTTGATGTGTGATGTGTGCTAGCTTAAAATAATTTTCATGTGTAAGTGATGCCTGACGCGTGATGTGTGATGCTGGTTCAACTGAAATCGCTTGCGCGTATAAGTGATGCGTGATGTGTGATGCCTGTTTACTTAAATGTGCTTGCACATTTGAATGAAGCGTGATGCGGGATGCCTGTTTACTTGAATTCGTTTGCGTGTACACACATTTTCGCGTATTCTGATTATTAGACAGATCTGCACTGCATCCTAGTAATGACTGGCAATCGTTCCTTGTTTAATCCGCTGAATGTTGGTGTCTTGTAAAAATGTGACTCGTTGTTTAAAAAAGAAACTGAAAAGGCATCGAGAAGGAGTGTTGGTAAGCAGTTTTGTATTCATTTCTGCTATTGCTTTGGTAAAGGCATGTTGCCGAAATATCAACGCATCTACACCTCCATTCTCCTGTTTTTTTTTCTCTCCGAGGAATAAGTCTATTGACTACCGTCTTATCCATATGAATAATGTTCCTCGCACATGCACTTAACAACTTACAATCCATTGCTTCCACACATCACCAAACTTCAGTGATTGGAGGCCTTTGAAAAGAAGCGTTTGAGCGATGCATCCTCCGATCATACCGAGCCCTTACATTCGGTAAGCCCTGCTCCCCAGTCAGGTGCGGTAGCACGGCCAACATGCGGTTAATCATGGAAAGTCGGGAAGTCCCGCAGAGCACCCGTGCCGCTCATGACATCACTGTGACGTGATTGGCTGACGGCGGCGGCAGCTGGCCGGGCCTGAGGTGTGCATTTCGTGTTGCATCCACCTGTTATGTGTGAAGCCAATACATGCGTGGTCACACCTCGATGTAAGGGGACGTAATGACCAAGCGGTTGATGTGTCGGACTCCCACGTAGGAAGCGCGCTGGAATCCCGGCTGCTCCATGACCTAGCGTTATTATGGCCAATGCAGTCGCGGGCGCTCCACAACAGGGGCATGGCGGCGTGCGGCGTTCTCTTTTAAGAGGCAAAAAAGAAGAAAAGACCTCTGCGTTAAGTCGCTCGGTCAAGGCTGATGTGTGCACCGACTTAACAACATGACAGACGCATAGGAAGAAGCGCAAAACGGAGACCCCCGGAAATCACCGTGTTTGGCGCTGGAAGAAACGCCTTCCGTACAGCATTGTTGGCGGATGGCGGATGACGCGGCGTCCTTCAAAGCAACGTGTTTTTCTCCCGATGATGCAACACTCCTCAACGCGCACATGGATGACCGGTCGAATTTCCCTCGCTCGGATGGGGTCAGACCCACTGAGATCTCGGAAGCTAAGATAGCTTGAGACATTAAATTCACAGTGTGGTTCGGCCGGTAAGTGATATCACTTGTGTCAAAACTTGAAGTTCTTAGACTGTGAGCTTGGAGTCAAATAAGGTCAAAGGAGTGCAAACTTCGGATTGATGTCCAGAGTGACCCCAGAACTCCTCACGCAACGGCCGCAAACCTAGTTAACTGCTCTCAGCAGAAAGTCAATGGTGTTCATTCAAGACCAGTGATTTTTTTCCTTCCATACGTAAAGTTAAACAAAAAATAAGAAAGTGCTGCTATTTTTTCATTCAAACAGGCGTCAGGAATTACGCTAGGAGATATGTTCCTAAAAACAAAATGTTGGCCAAGGTCATTTTATTTGAACTTTATACCTGACTCCGGGTCAATAGAATTTGTTGTGATTCTAAATTCAGGTGGTGTATTACCTAAGAGGCTATTCAGAGATGTATGGCTTCGTCTAACACTCTGTTGTGGCATTCGATTGGACGATTCCCTAGAAGTGTCCTTTGCTGACGGCCAAAGCCTGACTCTGACCTGCTATAGGTCAGCGACCTTACAAGGTACATCTAAATTTGTTATGTCAAAAGACCTTTTATTGAAATCTAAGGATACGCAAAGCTCAGCGTGGCCACGCCGCGCTGTTCAGAATTT